ACGTATTAAGGACGCCAGGAGTTTACCGTTATTTTACGGTATAATACCGTAAATGTTTTTTATACTGTTATCATAAAATGGATTAGTGTATGTTACTGTAAACTTGAACGGATTTTACTGTGAATTAACTGCAATTTACTGGCAGTGGACACTAGTAACTACCATAATTTACGGTATGTTGTCGTATATTGGATTACAAATTGTTACCATATGATTACTGTTTTTGTGTTATAAATACCAGAATGTTACAGTTTACTTATAACTGTATACTTTTGCATTTAATTCCCCACAAATTAAAGAAAGACAACCAAACTAATTTTGGTCATAGTGGTTGGAGTTTATTAGATGCCTTTAAGACAAAATTGTTAGGCATTTGTAACCAAGAACAAAACATAAAATATGCTGCATGTACACAATGATAAAAAAATGAATCATAAAATGATTAGGAACAAGGTAAACTAACTGCAACAATACGCTATGGAACACTTTCAATTGACCGCAGCAAACAGCTGGCGTCCTTAATCCAGAGCCTCTGTAAAACAAACCAAAATGAAATATTTAGAAACACTGTCATTGGTAAAATATTAAAATTACAAAGTTGAGGAAGACAACAAGATGTTAGAAAGGAGAATGTTAATCATGTTAGGCAAATAACACTTACCAACGTTACTTGGAGAGACCAGGCAATGAGAAACTTCTCCGATGTTGAACTGCACTGACAGGTGTTCTGGATGAACTGAGATTACGTGTGACGTCACGTTCAGGAGCAGTCGGTCACGATTAACACTCAAATGATTTTTAGGCAATGAACACTTTGAATAATACAAATATTTATAATCTTTACATTCCAGCTACTGAAATGACAGCGAAGGCGGCGCATGGGAAAGGGAGGGTGTGCTGTGCAGCATAAGGTTGGCGGTTTGAATCCTGGCTGCTCCCTGTGCTAAGTTGAAGTTTCACTGAGCAAGACAACTAACCCCCAATTACTCCACATAAAATGATGTCAAACCATGGGCGTTTTGGATAAAAGTGACAGCTGCATGTATAGTAATGTCCTGTAAGTCAAAGTCATCATACCTCATGAGATACTATCTCATTATGATGACTTACATGACATGGGCTTCCATACATTAACCTACAAAAGATGTAGATAGATTGTGATTCACTGCACTTGTAAGTGTAGTTCCACCACTTCATAAAATATATGTAACATGCAGTTGAATTACGGTAGTCTGCTATTATTGTAAATTGACAGCTTTAACTGTTTGTTCATGACATTGGCCGTTAATTTACAAGCAAGGGATGGAAATTTAACTATGTTACAGTTATTATGACATACTGTAAGATACCGTTAGAAATGCACCGTAAATTTACAGCAATTTGTTACAGTGTGCAGTCAATCAGTCAATGGTATATACTGCAGAGTGAATACATGAAGTTCCACTTTTGGCAATGCATGGATAGGAGAAAGGTTCAATGGTTATGGGACTAAACACATTTTTCTAGGGCGCTGTATGTCGCACCTCTGTTTGTTTTACTTAAAATGCAAAAATCTCTCTTCATCATGATGTGACTGACTGCAGCTAGCAGCCGTTTTGTTACCACAGTTAACGTCCGGTTTATTTCAAAGACCGGAAGTAAACCAGAGGTAAACAAACAAACGTTAACTACGTTAAAATATTTTGTTATTAGTCTAGGCCACATTAATCGCAGAGATTTGTGCGTTAATGTTGACAGCCCTATATTTTTCTGCTCCGGTTTAGGCGTTGGCCACTGGTTCCATTTTCAGCTGTTTTGGTTTGGCCCCATGCTCTATGCAGCTCACTTTCAATGTGGCACGTATTGAAAAGCCGCAAATGGCTTTTTGCCTAATAGGACTATTGTGGCTTTCAAGTACCTAAAAAAATATGATATCTTAATAGAGCTGTTTTCGCAAAAAGCAAAGGGCCTTTGTCTCATCAGCCATCAGTCGGCTGCACCTTTATTGACTGCTCCACTCCAGTATCACCAATTCATTCTCTCTCTATTATTGTGTGTTGTTGTCCTTAGTAGTGGGGTCAAATCTATGACATAAATTAAAAGTAAAATGATATAAATTTTTCAGCTACAACTTTGAGTTCAATTTTCACAAGTTCACTTATACACAACTTAACGTGTCCATGTCTTTGCTGTTTATGCCAAGCGTGTAGGTTGTGCAGGATACCTACATCAATTATTTTTCTGTGTGCAACATGTGCAAAAAATGCTTCTGCTGGAGTGTCCTCAACGTGTGTCACATGGTATCAAACCAAGACGGCCATGTTCTAACCGGAGCTCCTCTTTATGTTTATCCGGATGTTCAACACTGCTTTTTGTAAATGAATAATAGTGATTATGACTTTGGTTTGTTCTCCTTTGGATTGTGTAAGACAAAAATATCACATGAACATAATTATGTCGGTTACCCTGTAAGCCACCATTAACATCACAAAGCCAAGACGAATAAACTCAATGATGTGCTTCGATGAACTATGAAACGGTTCAGCAGATTGAAATGTTGCTCTTTTGAGCAAATAGCCGCCGCCTCAAAGCAGTGTTGTCGTGTCAATGATTGGCCGGGCAACAAAGTGTTAACAACGTATTTCAGGGGCACGAGAGGGCATTAAATAGTTTCTGTGGGTTGTCATTCAAAGGCAATTTAGGAGGCAGGAGGATCTCATTATTACATCAATTTAATTCCAATTAGGAGAAACAAATCAAATCATCTCTTTCATAGCATGTGGCAAAACGACTGGATGAGAAGTGAATGTGACTGACATAGATAACCACATCATATCAGCAAATTAATTCAATTTATTACTTCTTCTGATTTATATTTTCTTAAATGAGGACAAAAGGTCGAAAAGTAATTATTTTTTGGATAACGATTTATGAATCAAATTTATCCTAATATATTGTTTAATTTGTCTCTTCAATCACCTTAATCTACATATTCTGCAGGCGTTAACACAATGGTTATCCCTTTGTTATAGCATTTTCTGAGATGGATGTCAGCATGTATTGAAATAGGAGCTAATTTCAAGTATTTAAAGGTAAAAGAAGCAATATTTAAAAATATTGTGTAGAGTGTACTGTAGGCCTATGTGTGTGTATGCATCAGCGTTTTAATACACAAGAAAGTGACAAAACTTACTATATTCTCAAACAAACTTCAACTATCTGAACTTCACATACTCATCCGCTCTATGGCGCTGTGAGGCCATGATGTTGACCACTAGTTATGAGGCCTGGGTGGGATACCGGTTTAAAATCTTCTTTAGGTATGTATTTAGCACGTGCCGTTCCGCCGTAATAACTCACGTTGCTCTTGGGCGGGTGGCAGAATGACGTCACAGAGGAACTTTCAGCGGTCTGAGCTAGTTATCTTACCTGTGCTGAGGTTGAGTCATGGTTATTACTTTATAACAACTACGAAAACCCTACTCCAAACACTCTTTAACAGTGTAAAACACCACGACACAACAGCGTGGGACATGTAAACAATTTGTAACACTAATAATTGTACATTTATGAAATTACCCCGCCGAATTGTATGCTGGGTACACCTCACAACAAGAAGTAACTTTAAGTTAACTCTGCTGCTACATGAAAACACGGAAAAGAGCGATACAGGAGCGACAACACGAGACGCACCAACACAACGTGTGCCCAAGAGAGGGAAAAGGACAGGAGTGTCTGTTTGGAGGGTTTTTGGTTTTGAAAAATCTGATTTATTGCAAAATATTTTGCATTTCTGCATTTCTGGTGGCAACACTAGCAGCCACACAAGCTAACCCGCTTCCCTTCTTCACACAAAACGTGGAGTACGGCCAGCATATAATCCTTATGGATATCAAATTACAGAGAACAATTTGACAGTGACACAAGTTTTTACTTCGGGGAAAAAGCTATCAGCAATTTATATTCCTCTCTGACAACGGAATACTTTTACTTGGGAAATCGGTGTACTTAGTCACACAGACTTTGATGTTACCATGGAGGTGCTGCCAAGCGCGGCTCTGTTTCATGCTGCAAAAATTAACCGCATCATCACTCTGAAATGATGATGGAACCTGAAAACGAAGTTGCCATTATCTAGTATAACTTATAACTCTGTGTGGAATGTTTTCAAACTGAGCATCTTTATGAGCGTGGCTTACCTTACTAAGTTAGCTCTATTTGACTGATAATATTCAGAGAACAGTTTTCAACAACAATTGATCTATTATTTTATAGATTTATTTCAGGATACTTTGTTCTTTCATGAGAAACATGTATTTTTTAAGCCGTTGTGACAAATGGATCAGCCTCAACACCACACTCTTTTAAAACTTCAATCTTTGCAGAGAGTCCTGTCAGATCTAGACTTAATAGACTTTCAAAATGTGAGACAAGGAATTTGAACAAGCGTGTTTTCTATTTGGCATTTTCAATCTGCAACGTTGTTAGCGGATCCTGAAGGTCATTTTTACACTAAGAATTACTCAATGAAGACGATTAGATGTTTCCTTCTTCTGAAAACAATTATTTTACTTCTGAAATTAATTTAAAACTTGTTCTGATTGTAGTCTCAAATCAAAACAATGGTAATTGTACATTAAGATAAGTGAAATCCTCATTGTGATCACATACTATTGCAGCTCAGAAAATAAATAGCATATTTTATAAGACTTCACCAAGAAGCAAACGCAGTTAAAGTATGGAACCATGCAAAGTATTCTGACAGCTCACTCTGGAGTGAATCTAGTCCTTTCAGACCAAAAAACTAACCTCACATGTCTTAGATTGATGTCCGCCAATTTCCTCTTTAGTTCTTTTCTTTCTCAGTTCATGAATAAAGCAATCATGGAGGTTAAGTGAACGCCATTGAATTGTGCTTGATTGCAGGCCGCCCGCTAGCTGCAATTTAAATCCTTTCTTTCTAAATAAACCTGCATGTTTGAATGACAATTATCTCTCCACGTGTCTTTTCTTGGTTGCAGGCCAGTGGGGTCAGTGTGTTGGGGACGAGTGCGGTTCTGGTGGTCTTCAGACGAGGACCATATGGTGCGTCCACACGGAGGGCTGGACCACCCACCATTCTCACTGCCAGCATGTGGACAAGCCGGAGAGCCAGCGGCACTGCTTTAAGGTCTGCGACTGGCACCAGAACCTCTTTGTTTGGGACGTGTCAGAGTGGGGGGGCTGTGTTCTCGTCCCTTTCTTTTCCAACGAGCACAAGCTGAGGACTGCCGAGTGCATCACAGCACAGCACGGCATCCAGAGGCGACAAGTCCATTGTGTGCGCACTTCAAACCGCACCACGGTCACCTTGAGGATATGCGAGTTCTTTTCCCAGAAACCGCCTGTGGAACAGGCGTGCCTCATCCCCTGCCCCCAGGACTGTGTAGTGTCAGACTTCACCCCCTGGTCCAGTTGCAGCAGAACGTGTGGCGCCGGCCTGCAGCATCGGACGCGCCACGTCCTGGCCACGCCGATGTACGGAGGGGCGATCTGCCCCAACTTGACTGAGACCAGGACGTGTTCCAGCCTCCTCGAGTGCCCCGCCGGGGTGGGGGAGCACCAGTACAGCCTTAAAGTAGGGGCATGGAGCGAGTGCCGACTACCCCATCAGAAGGACGCCCTGTTGAGTGGCAGGACCACGGTGGACTTCCTCACCGGCTCCAACGGGAGTAACGCAGTCACGTTGCACACGCAGGCAGCCCACCAGCACCGGCACCACCACAACCGACACGTGCACAGGTTCCCCGTGTCGTGGGACCTGGAGGTGGGATACCAGACGCGACAAGTCCGCTGCACACGAAGTGACGGCAAGAATGCAATGTTGAGGTGAGCGGCCAGAATGAAAAAAGAAAGGAAGATGGACAGGAAGAAGGCATCTCTTAAGGCTAAATAAAAAAAACAAGATTATGATGAGAGTGAGTTGTAATTGTGCCCTTTAGATAAATGTGGGTGTCTGTGAGGGCAGATAGTCCTAATGGAATTGATTTGTTTATACGGCTCTCCAACACTCGTATGCATACCTACACATGCAGAAATAAACCACTTTCCATCTCGTGCTGACTCTTTGTATGCAGAGAAAATCTTTGCATGTCATTGATATTGACTAAATACTAGATCCATTTTTTGCTGTTTGTATGAGAGGTTTAAAATCATATAGCTTGTTGTTTGTTTGATATTTGAATGTCACTACGCACAGCAAGGCCTGTTCAATGACTTCATGACTAAAGTGGAAGTGTGATGTTGTAACCATTTACAAAACAGTGTCTGATTAGCAGGATACTTGCCTGGAAGTGCGATTGGGGAGTTTGAATATGGATTTCCCACCTGACTTCTGCCTCGTTCTCTAATTACAGCCTAATTACATAGTAAAATTCTTAAATGAGCATTTTACGCACATCCTAATAACCAACCTAATCAAACTTTCCACATTAAACAATGTAATCTTAATTAAATGTCTAATGGAAGTATTTCATATATATTTAATTAATTGAGCACACCAGCTCTTTGTATTTCTGAAAAGGCTGACAGCATATCAGAGATATGTGTTAACAGGATGTGTAATAGCTTAAACTGTTGTCATGTGGAGTGGAAACTGCAAAGGTCACTTGTAAATCAAGATATCCACTGGTATGTTCCCCAACAGATGTTTGGCTTTCAACATCAGTTATACTCCATATAATTTACCATTCTATTTAAATACCAATCACACCTAACATCTGCCCTGTTTTGGGCTCTTCATTATTATAATTCTATTTTCAAACCGTATGTGTTCCAAAGATGTTATGTTAAGAAATGCATGTACTATGTTTCTCTATTATTGCAGTATATTTTTCTTTATGGTCTTTGTTTCTTCCAAATCTACAGTCTATGCACCAAGGACGACTCCCCGCTGACCTTTAAGGCGTGTGTGATGCCCAAAGACTGTCAGACATCTGATTGGTCACCGTGGAGTCCGTGCTCAAAGACCTGCCGCTCCACCGATCTCTCTCCTGGTTACCGCCTCAGGTCACGAATCATGACGCAGATCACAGTTGGAGGGGGGCAGAGATGTCCTGCCCTTGAGGAAAAAGAAGCTTGCAACATCATTGGAGATTTGCTTCCAAACTGCCCCAGGTAGTTTCATAACTATGATGGTCATCGTCTCCTTTTGAGCTCACAATCCTTGAAAACAACGGGTGACCTTTTAATGCTGATTTTAATGTACTCAATGTCAAAGTCCAAAATCAAATGATGATTTCCAATTCAGCTTTTCAACCATATTTAGAATAGAAAGCCAAGAGGCTATATTTTTCCTCATTTCTTTGGCCGTTTTCTCAGTTACTTCAAGACACCGACAATGATTTGTATTGTTCAGAGCTTCTGACCCAAAGGACATGACATGAACGAAAAACAGTGTTTTAGGAGGGTTTCATTAAGAAAGGCTTTGGCAAATATTACATGAAGTAAACAAAGTAGTCAATAGAGAATAATTTCCCCTGCTGGTCGATTTTGTTTTATTTGCTAAATCTACACGGATTGCCTGAGAGCAGAGGATTTACATGATTAGGGAAAACTCATTACGGAAATTAAGCATTTGATAGATTACCACAGGCTGTTGTTCTGGTAAACTCCTCCGATAGCATTGCTTCCTGCACCACTGCATTTTTCATACTTGAAACCAAACATTGGTTTAGTTTCAAAGGGTAAAAATAATCAGCCTTTCTCCTGCTGACACACGAGAGAGGCTCAGACTGCTCTTGCTATTTAACCTTTTTGCTTTGTGAAACTTTTCTGAAACAACCGGCACTACTTTGTTGACATGATCTCCTCTTTGAAATGCATTCCGTTTCAGCCTGATACCTCTGCATACTTCTTAAGACATGTGAAACGATAAATGACGTCAATGCGTTTGCCAGGTATGTGTGGAGGACCACCGACTGGGACGACTGTCGCGTCCTTCCGTTACTGAGCCAGCAGGACCGGCGGCTGGCAAACATCAGTATTCTGTGTGGAACAGGGATTCAGAGCAGGAAGACCTACTGTGTTCAAGTCCCTGATCCCTCAGCACCACATCACAGGAAGGAGGGTAAAAAAAACCAGATGTTTTTTATGACCAATACTTGCCCCTGTGAAGCTGACTAATTACCTCATTATACTTTAAAACACCTTTAAAACAGGCTGTCGGTATTTTACTGTTATTTTACCGTTAAATTATTTGAGGTGAAAGTAAAATATGTGTTTTACTTTAGTATTTTTTGTCCTACTTCCTTTCCCCTGCATTATTGTTTGTGCGGGACATCAAACTAACTAAATCAGTTGAGTGTGGGGGTGACATTGTGATTTCAACACAGAGGATTGCGTTATATTGCACGAATTCTCCGTGTAATTATGTCTGGCCTTGAAAGTAAGAGAAAATGCGGATTTTCATTTCAAGAGGTTGAGAAACACGGCCGATACCGGCTCGCAGGGCAATGTGTTTTCATATTGGATCAAACATAGCGCTATCATCAGTAATGGTATTAAAGGGGGTGAATTGATTTACTTTCAACTCCGAGCGGAACTCCATCATTCCGCCCCCTACGAATGATGTAGTGTGTTATTATGCGATGTGTTGTATCACGCTGATTTAACAAGCTGTATTAAAACATAGACAGGTGTCCTAAGACCTCGAAGAAAGTCAATTTAGATTTACAAGAAGACCATATTCAGAGGGAGACACATTTTATGATGTGGTTTTTGTTAAAAGGCAGTGGGGGATTCAATGAGTGTGTGTTGGTGAGGTACTCTGAATCTTTTGAGTAGTGAGATGAAGCGATAGTTCAGTAAACTTACAATTTACAGAGAAACGCAGTATTCTATCTGATTATATATATATATATATATATATATATATATATATATATATATATATATATATATATATAACACATTATATAAGAAAGACTTTTGTTCAGTGCCATAGTACTCGTATGTCTGGTCATGGTCGTTATCTTGTTATTTCTTTATAGAATATCAATTAATTTTAATATATATATATGAGAGATCCCTGGGGCTTCTCTTGAACCATCTCATTTTAACTATAGTAGTAGACCTTTATTGGTTTTCCTGGAGTTGCAGTTTTCCTTTAGATAAAACCTAAAAGGTCAAGGAGGTTTTAGCTGAAGCCTCAAGCGTGAAGTGAATATAAATAAATGAATGAATAGGTTTAGGAATGGAAAAACCCTGAATTGTAAATGCAACCAGTTGTACTGAGTTTCTAGGAACTTGGCTGTCAACAAAAATATGGCTGTCAACAAAAATATTACATACAAATTTTGTTCCAATGCCAATTAAACAAAGTTAAAGTTTTAAATCTCATGAAAATCAGTTATTAGAAGGGAAGAAAAAAACATGTATCACAGTATTTCATTTTTTAACTAATTAATTGACTTAATATTTTAAGTTTGAGTTCCTGTTCTTTCAAACCCCTTGGTTTCCTGCATAATAACCATGACATTTTTCAATATACAATTTTCCTTTGACCTTATTTCTTCAGCATCAACTTGATGAGTCCATAGCTGTTAAGTTATTTGGCAGTTGCCCACCACGTGAGAAATGCTAGGTGTGTTAGGATTACAAATACGTTTAAGCTACAATATCAATCTTTCCACCAATGGATTTTAGGACAAAGACCAATAAATCATTAGTGTATTGCTCAAGGACACTTTGACATGCAGCGAGTACATGCTGGGGCTCGAACCCCACCTCTTGGCTGAAGGATGGCGGCTCCACCCACTGATCGCAGCCCTGTGCGCATGGCTGCAGCTCCACGAAATCCACACAGCAATAATGCAATCAGATGAGTCTGTATCCCTACTTTCCCTACTTTTTACTGCTGTGTCTGCTGCAGTAATGCAACTGACAAATACACCAAAAAAATCTCAATTTACAGACCAAAGCAGACAGATGTCTTCCACGCCGAACAAACAACAACAAACACCGTGTAAATTACTTTTGGTAAAAAGACAAAATGCACGATGGACACTTAGTGAATTTCTTTTTAGGTTTTCACTCAATGATGTGCGCAGGTGCATCAAAATGAAATATTACATTGAGGGAATCCAAGTCCTTTGGGATCTTGACCTTTTTTTAGTTTTGTTTGAGAGCCCATAACATGTTGTTGGTATTCGAAGCTAACAGCCATGAATTGGTGATGTAGGGTTACAGGGGCTTGCCTTATTATCTCCCTGTTCAGCTCCTGTTTACTCCCTCATGGTCGCTGCCCTCTATTTAATATTCTCTTGAGCTAAATATAGATGAGAGGTTTTAACTATTTTCCTCCTCTTTTCATCTTTTTTTTGTTTTCTCCTCAACACAGTGTACAGCATTATAAACCGTAGCGTTTTCCAACCGCTCCCATCTTCATAACCAGAATGGGTTTATGAAAGGAATGCTTCTTCATCTTCCTCAATCACTTCACAACTCAACTCCGTACATGTTGCTCACAGTTATCACACACACACACACACTAACGTACGCCTGTGTTAAGTCTCCTATTGTCTGGTTTCTTTGTTCGTCCAGTGTCCAGGCCGGTGAATGCTATTCTGTGTACTGGGGAGGAGCCCCCCTCGGCAGTCCAGCCGTGCTCCATCCTTTGCCCGCACAACTGCCTCCTCTCCCAGTGGTCACCCTGGGGTGGCTGCCTACATGACAACTGCAAGGAACCGCAGGGGAAGAAAGGTACGATGGAGTAAGATGTGAGAGCGAACATTTCAGCTTTCAGCTTGAAGAGCCACATGGTCACATTTTCCAAATTTCTGTCTTGCACACAATGCAATTATTATTGCACTGCGTGCAAGACAGACACCTATTATTATTATTATCTAAGGAACTTGTTTTGGAATGATTAACAATGTTCTTAATATTGATGAAGATGTGAGCTCTGCACATTCAACATTCGAGCAACAGGTGGAACCACAGCAAGGCCGCGGCCACTGGTGACGGGTGACGCATGCTAGCTGACAAAGTTTCAATGTCGCTGTAGCAGTCCTTAAAAAAGAAAAACCAGAGGTGCTAAATGCCAAGAATATGTTCCAAGATGCATAATGCCTCCAACTGTTTTCGCCATTAGAATACTGTTCACTCAGGATCATGTTTGACAGATGGACGGGCAGAAGGATGGACACAAGCCATCCAAAAAGATATTGTGGATCACTTGCTAACAAGCTGATATGATTTCAAATTGTAACTGATAATTGCACAGATGGTCTGGTGGTGAAATCACATGCACTCAGTCTAAAGCAATCAACTGTTCAGCTCTATTACAGGCACGGAGTACAAATGCAATACACCTAAGAGTACCTTTTATTTAGTGTGGTCGACAAGGGGCTTTATACTAACCTTGCTTCATGAACTTAGCATCATTTAATGTTCAATCAATAGATGGAGAAGCAGGGAACGGAGAGAGAGCAATGTTGTCAGAGGAGGAGACCGAGGGCGAATATGGTTAGATTATGAATTGTCTGTTGATGAGCAGCCAGCTGAGAGGAACCGATCACACCTATGGCTCGCAGTCTCTGTGGACGCAGGCTAGAAGGAGTTACAGCGAAAAACACATGTCTGTGTGTGCGTGTGTGTGTGATCAAGTATTCCACACACACCCCCGCCGTCTAAATGTTCTTGTCGTTTTCCACAGGCGAGCGTGTGTCATATCCGTCTGCTTTAGCAACGCTACACGCCATGTGTGTGTGTGTGTGTGTGTGTGTGTGTGTGTGTGTGTGTGTGTGTGTGTGTGCGTTCCAGTTAGCCGAGGAGCAGTTTGTGTGTTAGTTCTGAGCTAAAAGGGCAGTGTGACCTCGTCCCTGTCATGAGTAAATGTGCATGAAGGCCCCCCGGGGAGCGACTGAAGTGTGCATTGTTCAGGTCAGTGCCCACGCGGGCCAACGCCAGCGTCTCTATGACATGAGCCAACTCGCTTCACAGACTGTGTCGTTAATATATTTCAAGGAGTGGGAAACGCAGAATCCGCCTCTCTTGTGGCACGGTGACTTTTGACGGGCTTCTTAAAGACCCCCCCCCCCCACAACCCACCCCAGCATAAAGAGTATGAAACCAGCAGAACATGGGTCGCAGTGGGCCTCGTTGCCTGCGAATCAATGAACACTCACTGAGGGTTGGGACGTCGCTATGATCCTTGTTGCCACTGGTCCTTGAGCCGCAGATCATTTCTTGCTCCCGTTGAATTTACACTTTGCCTTTTATGTTCCACAAGGGCAGAATAAACTGTGGGTTGTCTCTAACCGACGGGCCTGCGGGATCCCAGCGTTCAGGTAGAAGATCACCACGCAGCTCCCGCGCTGCTATCCAGAAATTACAAATTTAAATTGCCTCGCAGTCGTTTTACTCGCTTTTCAAAATGTCTCATGTTATCACATTCGGCAGCTATGTGGATAAATTAATTGAAAACGGGAGGTTAGTGAATATAATTCAAGTAATGCCTCCGCTAGAAATCCCAAAGGAGGGTGTGTGTTTTTTTTCAGTGTGCTGAGAACCACTGAATGGCCCTTGTCTCCATGTGATAAACCTGGTATGAACAAGAAACCTTTAATAAATAATAACCACGGGTGCATCCCCACACCGAGCTGTAAGTGCTCCGGGCAATACCGCGATGGGATCAATAGTCGCTTTGCTCTTCCAGAGCCAACACCATTCGGATCAGGCTCCTGACATGTGTGCATCACACCGGGAGATGGTTCGGGGTAATTCATTCAGCGGGCATCGCAGGGGTTGGGCAGTTCAACCCTGTAAAGGGAAAAATATGTTGGGCATTCTTTGGCGAGCTGCGGTGAAATGAGAATGGTTGAAAAAGCTGGAAAAGCTGCAGCTGCTCAGCAGCTACTGGAGGAGGTGCTTGAGATCATAAACGCATTTCTACCTGACCATTACCATTTCTCTTCCAAGAACATTTGTTGAGCCCAGTGGTTGATAGAGACTGTTTGAGGTGGCCACTTAGTGGGAACCTTTTCAGAGGAAATAAATGATTCATGAAAAACCCAGCTCGAGAAAATCAATGTTTTAGAGCGAATCAAAAGTATGGTACAATTTTGTAGTGGATTGGATAATCTGCTTGAAGATAACGTTTTTGTCCAAGTTTTTATTTTGTCCTTGGAAAATTGGCCGATCGCAAATGTAGCACTGTTTATTTATGGTTGAAGTATTGCGTATGAATAAGTATTTTAGGAACAATATATGCATCTTGACGCTACATAAAACTAAATGACATGTGCAGTCAAGTTTTACTTTTCTTTTAAAATAAATAAAAAGATTTGAGCCTTTTTTCTGTGGCCGTACTTGGTGAAAAAGCCTGCACTGTGTGCACTTTTCATGTTCCCCCCCTGCAGCTCCTGCATGACAAGTAGAGTGGACCTGGAAGTGATGTTTGACATGGCCCGTCCATCAGGACGTAGAATACATAATGTGTCAAGAATATAGGGGCTGCTACTCAGGACAAAAACGAGAAGGAATTTTATCTGCAATCATGTCACCTCATTTTAGACCATTGTTACGCGCTTCTTTTTCACTTTCTTTGGTTAGTAAACTTTGGAATTAGAGAGGGAGTTTGAGCTGAGACGAGCGCTTAACCAAGGACATTTCACATCTACACCTGCAGAGATTGTATTGTGGTGTCAGTGTGGAGTCAGGACACCTCACCTGATGGCCCTAAATTTAGGAACAGAAACACATGTTGCAATAGTGAGGAGACGGTGAGTAATTGGAGAGACAGGTGTTGGTGTGAAATGCGAGCCAGCCGCATATCTGAACACGAATCATTCACCCTTTCTTACTATTTTTTGCCAGCCATTGTCTGATTATCTCCCCCCGCCTTTATCTCTTTTGTTTTACAAAAGAAAGAACCACTATTTTACAAGGTCATGTGAATAATGTTTAATCCTAACCCTATTGCTAATCCTAAAATGTTAAAAATGGTATAAAATAGGTTAAGAATATTCTTCTTGCCTAATAATTTTTAATTTTTATTCAATTGAAAGTGGATTTTGTATCATCAGCAACCCATTCACATCTTTTCAGCAACACATTGACAACTTTCTTAACGTTTAAATTTTGCTTCAAACTAAATTATAAACTACATTGAAAAGCATTTACTTAGAGCAGGAAGTAGCTCCTTTTGAATGCCGGAGTACAAAAAACCCGACTAGAGGAAGGATGTTTTTTATCAGAAACACATTTTTGGGGATAAAAACACCACAATGGCCTCACACTGCACATCATGGACTCCTACCATGGTCTTATTCAGCGTTAGCGTCTGAAATACATGGTGGCTTTCTCTCCCTTTCTTAATGCTGCTGTCCACAGCACAGTTGATAAAAAGAGCTAAATAATTGATCACAGCGATAATGTGCAGGCGAGGCCACATCTTAACACTGCACTTTATTGAAAGTTTCTGAACAGTTATATTTTTTTACATCAATATCAATTTCTTTCTCTGACGATCTTTTTCCTTTTCTCAGGTTCCAGACAGAGGAGGAGAGAGTTGTTGTGGGAGTCCAGCGCTCCGCCGGAGACCTGCCCTCATCTGGTGGAGTTCATCCCCTGTGAGGATCCCGCCTGCTACCTGTGGCAGGTCAAACAAGAAGGAAGATGCATTCCCACCAAAAACTCCTGTGGTCCCGGGAAGGCGGCCCTCAACGCCACCTGTGTCGGTGCTGAAGGTACAATCGGTTCATCATGTTCATCATCAAAATTGAAACGTTCGTCCTGCTGTAACGTTATGTGGGTTTTTTCATTTGAATTTACGGGACAAGCATGGTTTGTGTTCAGTAGTCAAATTAGGGTGCTAAAGACAGATTACATTAATCTTTATAACTTTCAGCTCAGATTTTATTAACAGCAATAATTGTTACCATTTGCGTTGTGTTAAGATGTTTTAATCGTGTTAAAAAGCATCTGGCCACACAATTCAACATTTCTATTTCTCCAAGTAGCGGTGGAATTCACGAAGGCCGCAGTAAAGCCATCAGTGCTGCGGTCCGGACACGTAATGCAATAACGTGACGCGTGAACCACCGCGCACAGACACACCTTCGTGTTGGCCGATGGCTACATCAGCGTTAACGAAGCGGAGATTATTCATGAGGGTCCATCACCAAGTTTATGGGCACAGACAACATTGCCCTGATTAAAAATCAGAAACACCGCTTCCTGCAGGCATTGATTGCTCATCTTCATAGATTATAAACCTAATTGCTCCCTTTTTTTCGCCCGTGTTTTATTATTCTGTCACAATGGATCAAGTGTGTGTTCATCAGGAAGGCAGTGGAGGGTCCGAACGCGTCAGCCAACAGAAGAATCTGACCAGTTTTGACAGGACAACTGAGAATGCGCGCTTTGCCGGGTTTGAAGAAAAATGGCTCATGAAATCATCTGCAGGCGGATCCATTGTTAGAGAATGTTGACAAGTTGTTCACTGTTGCTTCTTTAATTGGCTGATCGGATTTACCATTTGAGTGTAGGGTAGTTATTTTCCACACACAGTCGCAGCAGTATCGGGGGCCAAGTTGTTAAGTGATGCAAAACTCCTGTGGAGACTTTTTCTGCAATGAATCGCAGTGAAATATAAGACTGCGAGCATCAAGATATAACAACTCAAGGTGTCACTACTGGCACCGTGTGAAAGTAGACATGATAAGACAAATATTTCCATTTCAAATACATGCAGTCAATTAAAAGTGTATTTTAGCGTTTCGAGTTGAACCAAGTTTAAACATACTGAAATGACTTATTTCCTGTTAAGACCGTACTGAAAAAGAAAGTGGTAATTATCTATTTTCGTAACTTTAAGACGTTTGGTGCGCTGCTAATGTTTTTGTAAAATGAGGAACATTATCTGCTCATCCTACCTTTTACAGCCCAGGTACGTGTATAGTATCGGCCGTACTTTAATTATTTGAACGGTGGGTAGACGGGAAAGAAAAATGGAGGATGAGACGGACAGAACAAGCCGCCACGATAATAGTGATCAAGTTTTTTCACTGGATCGAATACGCTTTACTTGTAATACAAAGTCAATGGCGCTTACAGAAAGCTGTCATTAATTGCAAGTCTGTCTGCATATTCAGATCTAGTTATAGATCTATATCTATATGTGTATATAGTGGTTGGAGTTTATACGTGCAGATCTGTAGAGCTGTAGATGGGAATCTGGAGCTGCTGCTGCAGGACTGCACAGACCTTCATACACATCCACCGCTGGCTCATTTTCAATCAAATATACTCTGGCAACTGACAGGCTGAGTGGAGAGAAAGAAAGAAGAGGCAGGAAATACTCTCAGCGGTGAGAGGATTGTCAATAGAAATGTTGGACGCTTTCATAAACAAGAAGTGTCTCTGATATTTGTGAATGCCCGTTTCTTTCATCAGTATCAGCTTGACATCCTGTCAGCAAAAACATTAGATGAGCTACTTGTCCTTGTTTGAAAAGCTGATTTGATTGAAGCACCTGGATGGGTCACAGACGTTGAAGCTGGAGTGCAGAGCTGTTTATTCATAAGATTTGAAAGGTGTCTGGGAAACCATGAAACAAACAAACTGACTAAAAAAAACAAAACTTCAGGGCCACGCTGTCGTATGGTGTCGTTGTTTGAGGAACGACGTCATGCTTTTATCGGATTCTTCATGTTGAGTGGAGTGTCCGCACTGGAAAATGTCGCCATATGAAAAGGGTAAATTCTGGCAATGTGGTCAGTTGAGGAATTTGCTTTCAGTGTTGAAATCCTTAGAAGGACACCTCGTTGTTCATTAGCCATTACGTCGAAAAGCTGGAGGTTGATGCTTGAAGAGAGGTCATCTATGACCGGGCATGTCACAGCTGACAATCCCTTTTAGGAGTTGCCCCATTACCTTTTTACTACTAATCATAAGTAGTGCTGACATTTATTTAAAGGTTCAGTTTATTGTCGGTCTATTGGACAAGTGGAGCGCCCGGTTTACAAATGCTGCCGGTGTGCTGCTGCGTTTGGAGATATTGCGGTGAAAAGCTCATTTCTGGACCATGACGATTGAGACAAGGAGTGTTTTCCCCACTTTACTCCTTGATTGAGTAAACATTTAGGATTCCCAGAATGAAACTACTCTGCATCTCAAACCTGAAAACTCGCCAAGTTGTCTGAGAGAAGTTCATGTCTGTAGAGAGTAGGAGATTTCCCAGCAAAGTTTATCTAACGGAGATTCAAATAATTATCTGTGGCTGCTCAAGCAATCAGAAAACACTGTCTGTCACCTACAGGCAAGCTTGTATTGCTTAGAAAATACATGAAGTAATTCCCAAAACCACTCTGGTATATACAATGGAATAGACTGTCCCAGGGCTGTTGAAGGACATTGTGAGGAGGATCCAGAGGACTCCACTCCTTTGAAAACTACTGTTCTCCCACTGGCTTTCACAGTGGAATGATATATGGATAACTGCAATGGGAGTTATAAAGTGTCTGGTATTAATGAACTCCATAGGAGCTTTAACTGAAAATACATGTGTGAGATTGTCGTGCGATCAAATCACGGATTCTCTCGGCCTTCAGTTAATGAGAGTGTCCGGCCGTTAGGTTTGTTCAATTGTACCGTGGGGAATTGGATCTATTGAATCTCTGAAAAGTATATATCCATTGTTGCTCGTTCTATTTCAGTGTAATTTCATTCATTCCGATCCTTTCAAACGACTTGATATAGAGCCTTAATGTGCTTTACATTACACAACCAATGGAACTCTGGCAATTCATCTGCAAGAGTTGTTTTGTTCGAAGTAACCGCTCATCTCCATGCCAACCGCCTGCACAGCCGGTGTCAGTCATTTGCCGGTAATTTGCATTAGTTTCATCAATTTGTCATTCATCCACCCGATTTCCACAAAGACCCACCCCACTCAGCCTCTGATTGGCTAATGCTAGTGCCTCCAATGCAGGAAAGATTGATCCACGGTTGGTTGGGTAAATTATTTGAACTGATGTGGATTATAATTCAGTGCTCTGATGTCCAAATTACGGGAGAAAAATGTTTTTCTTCTAGAAATGTTGACTACATGGATGAATTTTGATTTGATTTAACTTCAGGATTAAAAAGGAAACAAACTAAAAAAAATGGTACCACGGATCAGAAACGTGCAAACCAACAAGAGAACACCAGTTTATTCACATCATTGTATTCATTTGTTAACGTGAAGGGATTTATGGCAAGCCCAATGTCATCATTTAAACTTCATACCATGCAACTTCAACAAAATCACCAACCTCATAAGCATGTTAGCTACATAAAAAATGCTTCGGATGCTGTTATGTGCTGGAAGGTGCTGCTACAATTATTGCAAACTGAGTTAGGATAACATGACATCTCACACAGGGAGGCTAATGGGCGTTTATTCAGCAGCTCCACACAACAGCAAATAAAAAACAAAAGTGCTGCGTTTGCCTCACCCACTCGCTTTTTGCCCCCGGCTTAGTAAAACTGTTTTAAAAAGCACCCAAAGCTCCCTCTCTTTTCCCAGCAACCATTCACGAGTGGTAAGTGCCATTTCCTGAGCGGGCTACCAACCACCGGTACGCGCCGCCTCAAACACCTGGTGCACCTGCGAGTGGCAGCTGACGCTTTTTGACATTTCTGAAAGCAACAACATGGTTACCATCACCGCGGATTGATCCCTCCTCCGCTGATCAACAACATTCAAATGATGAAGACCTCAGAAAAGCAGCCTCGGGCTTTGAGGCGGTCGCGAATGCCGAAATTCCAAATTGACAGCCAGATACGGGCAAAACATCAACTTCTGACCCAAACCAGTCCGAGCCCACTTTGACGATCACACACATACTGTATATCATCCAATTTGCACTGTTGGTTTTTCCTACTTTGCTTCACTATCTGCCCGCACAAAGTGGAAAGGATTATTAAATCTTAAACAAAAGTGGGGACTTTATTTTTCTTCATCTACCCGAATAATAACGATGAAGAACATTAATTGGTAAGTGGGCGAGTAGAATAGAAATCATGTCGAAAATTGCATGCAGGAGGGAATGGTATTATATCTGAGTAAGAGACCCAACTACAGATCCCTGTATTAATAATGCAAAAGGACCCCTAGGGCAGTCATCTATTTGTGAATCCACATGTAGTTTCCCACACATACACACACTAAAGTTGTGTATTTGGATTCAAGTTATCATTTCGTTTGTCTTTAGGCGTTTTTTCCAAAGCAAAGCTTTGAGAGCCTTTTGTTAATTTTGTTTGTTGAACATATTTATTAGTTCTTTGTTTTTCAAGCAGAACAGTTTTTAATATTGACTGGTTTTCAACTGTTGGCAATAACACACCCGCACGATTGGAAAAAATTGTTTTGCATGAAATTGCACACATACAACTATACAGATAAGGTAGCAACGAGGTGCACATTTGCATTGCACTGGAGAAGCCTTTGAACTGGAACGTCATTGTGTTTCAACCCGTAATGATCCCACAGAGAACTTTTGGTCTTCTGATTTGTTAACATTTGCATCTGTGAAGTCATATTTTAGGAAGTCAATGTGAGATTTTATTTTACTTTCTACTTTATCTGCTCATCCAGCTTACTTGTTTCTTTCTTTTTGTTTTCATGATTCTTTAGATTATGGATTTTACAAGATAACGTTGTGTTTCTAGTTGGGATATTAGAGCCAAAATAGTTATTTAAAATGTCAATATTTGATTGATTGATTGATCGATTTGGTTTGGATGTGTAAGGCGAAGGATATGGGCAGTACAATTGTTGGATGGAAGATTGCAATGATTCTTGTTTTATTGCATTTGGCAGGTAAAGTAAAAACTGCAGGTTCGAGGGATCTCTGGTTTGCAAACGGTTGACAAAATGCTACAGCCATTCCTGTAGAAGTGACTTTTTTTTACTTTAAATAAAATGTAAACTTTTTAAGCATGGTCTCCTTTGTTCGTTTTCACCCTTTAATGGTAAAAGTAGGTTTCAGTTACACTAAAACATTAGATGGTAAGCACACTGTACCGCAGTCTCCGTCCGTTTAAAGGGCAGAGACGTTGATTTACAGAATTTATGGCGCTATCCCTGTTTCATTTTAATGCCCACTTATGTGAAGCATGGATGCCTGAAATAATTACCTTGGACGAAAGCCAAGCTGAGCAAAGTAGATATTTCCCTCAGCTTGAAATCTCATTGTCGGTTTAAAAAAAAAATGATTATGCAAAGTAAAACCAGTACAATTCCTGTTCAAGAGCAGCAGCTTCCAGGTCTTTGCCCACTTTATTAAGGACATATGTGGCCATTAACATTATTCGTGGTTTTCTTTTGTGTTTGTATTACCTCTATGAAGTCACCATTCACTTCCTTGCCGACGGCGAAAAACAGCACTCGCACCAGACACCTGAGAATCGTTTCATTTTTAACATCAACTGCAGAATCCTCCATGCTTTGCTCACTTGCATATTCACCAATAAAAGGACTCATGCCTCCCAAAACAGTAACATATCTATTTACATCTACGTTGCTTTAACTTTATGGATGAAATGTTTTTCACACTGATTTGGCAATACTTACCTTCGCGCTCTCTGCCGCATCAAGGGTGGTCGCCCCAAGGAGGAACAGAGTCCCATCGATGACAAATCTTCCCTGGGGTTGTTATTGTTGAAGCAAATCCCATGATTTAGTGGCAGAGTTCACACAAGTTAATGATTTTCAACTGCTGTGCGTGAGCGTATATTCCCCAAAACGGTGCCTCAGCTGCTGCTGCCATTGTTGTGACCCCATAACTGCAGCTCGGTTACTAACATTGATCTCTCTCGCTTTCACTCGGACAAGGAAATTGCCCTCTGGGCAGTGTCCAAATAAATATACTGTAACATATATATATATATATATATAATTATTATTATTATTCCCCAAGGGTGTTATTCAGTCATGAACATTCGTTTGAGATTCTGTAATTTCTGTCTTTAATCACTCAAGAAGAGAGTCATTCGCATGAAAGTGCAGCAAAGAGAGAAGGCGCTGTCTTTCCTGTAGCTGTTTCGCTCCTGACAGAAGAAGCTGTGATGAATATTTCATTACATAACTGCAAGATGAAGGCTAACGGAGACCTTTTTAAAGCTCGCTGAGAATACCAAGTGGATGATTTAATAATTTTCTTTAGATCAAATTTAACTATATTAGTGGTCGACGACCAAGTTTGATGAAAACTCTTAAAGGTTCTGTGGATTCAGACTGTTATAGCAGAACACAATTATCTCCTATAAGATTTCCTTACATGCAGATTGAGTGCCTTTAAGCGAGCGGCAGTGACTGTGAGTCCCAGTGCGTGTGCTCCGCACCTGCTGACATCATCCAACCTCGTCACTGCAGCGCTATTAGTTCCTCCAGCACAGCTCAGTTGTTTGCACATCTGCCCAGCTGCACAGCAAAGCCCACATGATTGATGTCGGGTGAAGTAGAGGTACAGGACGTTTAAATGGGTCTTAAAGCTTCTGTTTTAATGCATTTCCCTGTACTTGCCCTCCTCAGATGTCAATGTGCCGATTGCCCACTGTGCACACGTCCGCCCCCCCACAGAAGCGGCGTGTGAGGTGGCCTGTCCTGCAGACTGCGTGGTTGCATCCTGGTCCTCCTGGTCACCTTGCTCACACAGCTGCGCCACCAGGACAGCAGAGGGGCGACAGAGCCGCACTCGCACCGTGCTCGCCGTACCAGGCAAAGGTAACGCAACTTTCAACGAGACTGCTTTGACTCGTTCACCGATTCCAATTACTGCTGTCCCTTATTCTCTGTGTTTATTGTTCCCGTGTTTTGTGTGCAGAACCTCCCCCAGGTATCAACTCTCACTCAAATGAAATGAAAAACAAAATGTTGTTTTATTTTCCTCTGATTTTTCACTACAAAATGTGCCTTTGAGTGGGTGGCATTGCCGCAAACACTTAGAATCGTAGCTGTCATTAAGTGTGCAGTTTTGTTTATTTATACATGGTACTGTCAAAGTGTATTTATAAAGGTAGAAGACAAACCGTTAGGGAGGAAAGAGATCAATTGCACAGTGTTTTCTCAGTTACACATTTGAGTGCAGCGATATCTTCACTGGGTTGGGGAAACCAGGTGGACAATACTGAATGTAGAATAAATACAAAGCAGGTTTTATATAATTTAGGGCTAAAGTGTATTAGCAAAATTGCAATGCCAAATCTGGTGTAGTATATTGCAAAAAGCTCCTGAGATACTGTAAATACATTGCAGAATGCAGAATGTATCATAGTGATAATTTCACAAGGATTAAAAAAAAAGGCTCATTTCAAAGTTCAACAAAAAAGTTCCTTGGGCCAAAGCCTTTATCGGAGGGCTTTCCATGACCCTGGGAAAACTTGTGTGATTTCAGTGACAGACATTTTTCGTCTCAAGTTCTTCATCTTGAGTTGTCCATCCTTCATCTTGACCCCTTCTCCGGACACTCTTTTTCTGCCGACTGCAAGTGCTTTGTTTACAAGTCGGACAGCAGACTCTTGGCAACCAGCTACAACCCATTAATCCCTGGATCCAAGCGCGTGTCTAGAGCAACAGTTGATGAAATCATCTCACAGTTTAAGACAGGTTGCACAGTGTGTTGCTAATTATCAATATGCTTGCATTGCAGAAGTCTGTGTGTCTGCGTGTGTGTGTGTGTGTGTGTATGAGGGGTGTAATTGTTCTGAAAGTTACAGTTAACTTTAGGACGATTACTTCTCCCCACATGACACTTAGGATCCTACTTGAAACTGCCCTGGTGTACTTCCACGTAGATTGGACAGAGTTTGACCAATGTAGACCAGTACACATCAAGTATATTTGTGTGGTATTTCCTGGATGCATGTAATTCATATGTGTGTGCATGTGATGGATGATCATATCATTCTAGGTATTGACATGTTCTTAAGTATCTGACTTTATTTTATTTTACCATGAACCGGTCTAAACTCTCATTCCAAAATGAAAAAACAGGAAGTCACATATAGAAATACACGGAGAAAAACAGCCAATCGCATATTTTATGAAATTGGAGGTGACACTATAAAAATACTTAAAGCAACTGCCTCAATGCGTGCCCAATTGCGTCGCCTACCACACAGCAAAGCCACACACTCTATCTTGGTGAATACAGAAATGTATTGCTCTATGTACTGTGTCATACATGACAGTAGGTGTCGAAATAATGACTATATATAGGGTCATTATTTGGACACCTTATGTCATATATGACAGAATACAGGGAGCAGGGACTGTAAAGGATCGCTGTGGTGTGTTTGAGGGCAGTGTGTTAATTGGACAGTGAATAATGTTGCAGGACCCTTACTGTGACTTTTCATTTGTAAAACAAACTTGTTTGAACTTATAATGGGCCAACCAGAAGATTTTTTTTTTTGTCGAGCAGCCAGCGGTCATTATATTGTATTATTATTAGCATTGTATTAGCATTTGACTCCCAGCAGCTTACCTCAGGCGCGTTACTTCAGGTGAAAACGTTTTTTAGATTCTCTCCAGATGACGTGTACTCTGCTTCTTTAAACTGGGACTATTTTTACCTTCCTTAAAAACACAGCAAAACACTAAACTCTAAACTCACTAAACTGCTTTTTTTTTCTTCAGAATGCCAAATAAAAATCTTTGCAGCTGTTCCCATGTCTTGTTGTTATGTCCTGTGTCTCGGTATCCAGGAGGGAAAGAGTGTCCGGCAGCTCCAGCCCTGGAGGAGTGGAGAGTCTGTAATGAGCACCCTTGTGCGGTGTTCTACTGGGACGCCTCAGCCTGGGGCCCCTGTATAGAAGACGCGCCCACGGATCCCAATGGAACCAGCTCCTGGAACGGGACCTCTGCGTGTGCTATGGGGGTTCAGATCCGCACAGTGAGCTGCATGAAGATGAACGTTGGCGCTGTGACGAATAAAAGGTACGCTCTCTCCGTCCACGCTCTCTTCTGGAAGGGCCTGTGACCTTATAGTGTTGTTTCATCACAAAGGTTTCGTTGAAAAAGCGCTGAGATGGCTTTTGTGGGATTCTATGGCAACGATGTCTTGATAAGATACCATCAATAACCACCATTGTATGCTAGAGTGGCACGGCCCATTGCCTTTTTAGCATATATTTAGGATACTATCTCTTTGTCGTGTCCTATGTCCACGCAGCCAAGCTCCGCCCACAAATGGCCTTTTCCACCCATCTGTCACCATTGGGAAAAGTTTGGACATTTTTAACTAGAATACTTTGGAGCAGCCAAACACACACTGGGCGTTAGGCATCCAAGTTGCAATGTCATATTGGGTTAAACTCAGTATTGGGATTTTGCATACGGACATGTACAGACCTTCGATGATTTTTCTTTATCATGCTTTTTTTTGGTCTCCCCTCTGTATTGCTCATAGTATTCTACACTGAGCAGGTGTAATTCTTTCTCTCTTTTTTTACAGCAAAGTAATAAATGAAGAAAATAATTGAATACATGGATTCATCCCCCAACAGTGTTTTACCTAATTGGATTTGGGATGTAAACAAATATTCTACATTTGAATAAGTATTACGATTGTCAAAAAACCACAACAGTTATTGGAATATTAAAGTGTATATTCCATGGAGGAAACAACCTGCACTCCTGCGGCTGTCTGACTCCAGCATTCTGAATGTGCCGCATCAAGGGAGTCAAACAACGTTAATTGCAAAATAATTAAATTAAATTGAAGTGAGTGGTGATGTTCTGCAATATCCCAGCTCCATTGACGCTGTTTTTGGTGAATGTCTTTGGCCGTCTGTCTGCGGCGTCTCCTGGGGGACACCCGCCTTCCCCAGGCTGAAGGACAGCAGACATTTACTGAACCAAAATAGCGCTCATGTCCGCGTCGTGGTCATCGTGGGCCCATTTATTGAAGATATTCGCCCGCCCACTGTGGCAAGTGAGGGAAATCTGCCTATGGGGGAAATGGGAGCTAATCAATATAGGTACGGTCGATAAGTTCGAACCACACATGCTGTGGGGTATTTGTAGATTTTATTTATCTGTCTATGCAGATTACGCTTTGCTCAGAGCATTTCAAAATACCGGAAGTAAGGTCAAAAACCCTTTCGGTGCGGATTAGTCAAGCTGAACAATGTAAATTCAAAAAGAATAATGGATGAAAAACAAATACAGTTTTATTACGTTATTTTTGTCAAAATTAGGAGAATTTTATTACCTCTCAATGGCACTTTGCAAGATGCCTCAGCCGCTGGCTAGCGGCGCTAACAATAGTAAAAGTAGCGTAGATAACGGGTGGGAAAAACATGCAACACGTCATTAAAGCAAGGTGAAGCCCAGGTAACAATAGATGCAGAGAGAAAGAGAGAGAGAACACGTTTTTCTGATAGACATGAATCTAATTTATCTTTCCAAAACAAATGTTTTATTATTATTTATTCTGAATCTCATGTATTGCACCTATAATAATTATATGCCTTCAAATATGAAGATCAAATTGAGATTGAGTCATTATGCTCGGATAAGAGCAGCCTTTTGTAACAGAATATTTTCTTCCTCTTTCCCCAAATCTGATAACGCTACTTTGGTGAGTTGTAAATTCTAGAAAATGAGTCTAAAGAGAAACGTGTGAAGTTATCAGTGATGATTGAAACGGCGCTTTGAAATCTCGGGGATGAGTACTAAAGGGAACACAATCCCTCATGATTAAAGGTCCTAAAAGAGTTTTCTTTGAATATGTTGTAGATGTTTTGTACATTCCCTAAAGGTCAAATGACCCCAGAGGACTGCTGTATATTGAGCGGTTTCTGCCTGATTTTCTGAATCTGAGATTCATTTTGCGTATGCTCTGCCATTATCTACTCCTCATTCAGCAATACAATATCTCACAGTGCTAGGGGCTTCTGCGCTGTCACTATAATGATGTTATAGCCCACACCAGGACAATAGATTTAAAAATAACTCAGTTAGTTAAGTTTGCCCTTCTTTAGTGAAGTATACTATTGACAGCGCCAGTGTTTTCTTATGAAGGCCTCATCGCCCACCACGTAGGTTTTAATGAAAGCGCTCATTTCTCCTCCTGATGTGGCCTGTAAAGCAAAGTGTGAAGTCAATCACTGCTTCGCTATTCACATATAACTCGAGTATGATGAATACTAGTGAGAGAGCACCAACAAGTAACTTGGCCTTTCTGCTCTCTTTCCATAATGTGCAGACATTATCAGGGTTCACTGTATATTGAAGAGAAGATATTTGGCTTGACTTCCCAATCCTGATTTTATAAATGTAATATCCAGAAGACTGTATCAGAATCCGAATCCGAATCAAAGACTTAAAGAGGGGCAGCACACAGGGGGTGACTGGGGGGGAAAAGTGTCCCGGGAGTTACTGTCAGACCGCTCACTCAATGCATGTAAAATGGACCATACACTTAACGTTATTATGCATAAATTTACATCATATTAGTTTTTTTTTTATTAGAACATTTGGATCCAACTATTTGCCCGGATGGATAAAATGATACTAGCTATTGTAGCGTAAGGTGGGTATAGTGCGAGATGACTTTGCTCCTGGTTGTACGTATAATCACAGAGCCTTAAGGAATGAACGCCAGCAGAGAAAAAACACACAATAAAGAAACTGGAATGAGAAGGTAGAATTAGTATGAGCCGTATTGTAGAAATGAACAAAACATACGGTGGGGAGTGAACATCAGTGGATCAGTAGTGTTGCATCCTTGGTGTGGGATTGTGTGTGTGTGTGTGTGTGTGTGTGTGTGTGTGTGTGTGTGTGTGTGTGTGTGTGTGTGTAGGGTTGTTGAAGGTGCATAACAAAACAACTTCTTTCATCAGCCGGTGTTTTCCCAAATAATTCAACGATTTTTCAAATGTTTTGATGCACCTACCTCCTGACACATCTTTCTTTTCTCCCAGAGCTTTTCAGTTCCACCTTTTAAAGGATTTTGCTTTGGTGCCGATTCGTCTGCGAGCGACTGACGCAAGCGCCGAGGAGGCTGGAGCGCTGGTGTCAAACTTAAAATTAAAAATGAATGACTCCGATCCCTCGCTGTGAGCCCCGCCTCCTTCTCCACCAGAGGAGTTGTGTTGCCAGTAGCTTTCGCAATGCCTTCTGGGACATATATTATTACATATAATATTTACTCGCAAGCCGGATATAATTGAATTCCATTGTTTAATAATGTTTGAGTTTGACATGTTTTGGCTAGAGTGATTGACATTTAATAACACCTAAAATAGATTTGCTGTTGTACTTGATGAGGGTCCCTTTACTCTGAAAGCATCTCCTGCTTAGCAGTATTCTCCATGTTGCAAACTGACTCCAAGAAAGGGGAGCGGGTTTGTCTCAGAAATACATTCAATTTATGTTCGCTCATTTAGAAGATCAATTAACAAGCCAAAGCAGTGGTAATACAACTAACAGATAACTTTTCAATTTGCCATCCTGAAATAACTGTTGGAAATAAAAAGGCCAAAACAATTTGAAAAAACGATAGTCATTTTTTTTTTGGATTTTTCAGGACACATTTGTTTTAAAATAGGACCTGAGAAGAGCCGGTATTCAAACACACTAAAACCCCCGAAAAGGGCTCCCTCCATGCTACATATTTAAATCTAACAAAATTGATGACGTATTCTGTATCACATGGAATTGACAAATTAGGTATTTGATTGCAATTATAATGATCCACAATGCGTGAGAGAATATTTCCTGCTCCAAACCGTGTCACCATGGAACACCATCGCCCTGAACATGCTCTTGATTTCCCCACTCTCGGCGTACCACGCAGTATTCCCCCAGCTGCTCGGCTGCGTTGAGATGCCCTCCGGCAGGCATCGCTGCAAAGAGGGAGACAGAAGAGGAGGGATAAAGCAAGGGAAGGATGGGGTTTTATGCATCGCGCCTCCTTATGCACCTCGCTATACTTTGATCTCCTTCCTGTGCGTGCCGACTTTCTGCAGCCGGTAGGATGTGGCACAAAGCTGGATCCCCATTCAGACCTGGATCTGGTTTTTCGGGCAAAGAAAGTAACTCGATCTAAAATGAAATTGGGACGTCTCAGTGCGTCTGTGTGTGTGTTTGTGTGTTTGTGGATTGTGGGGTTTGGCTGCTTGTTGATAAAAACATCAAAGCTCATGACTTATTTGATTTTACATAGCAGCATTAATCAGTAACACTTCAAGGTTGCACAAGAAGCGACACGCAACGCAGCCAAAGGCTCCGTGACGGATGTGTTACGTAAGATATGTAGCATCCCAAATACAGAGGAAGATTATTTTCTATCTTAAACCTGGTTATGGTGTCCTTTACGTGGCAGGAATGATTCATTGGTAAACAGTTTGCGTATCCTCACTTTGCTCAGGTTTAATTAGCAGCCGTGCTGTGGACTTTGATTGATTTTCTTCCTCCTGGAACACTCTGTCCCCTGTGTGGCAGCAACATGAAGACTTCTGTGGCTACATGCGTATGCAGTGATAAATGCACCCACCTGATTCGCTACCACGTTTAGCTTCATCGTCCTGGTAACAAATTTGATAGTTGATATCCTCAGGCACATGACATACGTGTATGCCGTTGAAATGCGAGTGATCTTTAAAGCCGCATTAATTGAGTATTTTTGGCCACCTGATGGAGTTGAAAAGCTGAAAACGCTGCATTGCCATCATTTCCTTATGATACGTACATAATTGAATCCTAATCTGAGCTGGGGGATGACTCTTGGTTGGTTCTCTATTCACACATCATATTCAATCCTTTATTGATGTAAAACATATGTATATGCATCTAGAAAATTAATTTTGAAAACTGCCAAAATATTAACTCTGTGCTCTTGAATAGTTGCAGTGTATTTCATTTTTTTTCATTTCGCAATATTTGAATCTGGGGAAGAAATTGAAAGTGTCATTTTTTCACACTTGTTCCACTTCTTCCTGCACGTGCAAGCAGGGCCCCGTGTTTTCTGTGGGCAGATGTGTGATGTCTAACAGCCAGACTCTGGACGTCTATCATTCCTCGCCTGGGGGGGCGGTGGGGGGTCAAAGAGAATTTAAGGCCTCTGTTTGTGCAGGTGTTCGGATTCTGCTCATCCAGAAACCGTCCGACCCTGTCTGCTCCCCTGCAAGAAGGACTGCATCGTGACACCCTTCAGCGAATGGACGGCCTGCCCATCCACCTGCGTGCCAGGTAGCTCTTCTCTGGAGGTTTTTTTGGGAAACATATTCTTTCCTTTGATAAATTGAATCAATTGAAAATTGAAACTTTAGAATACATATTGTAGTTGATGTATACAGTTACAGTATCAAGAGACAAAGCACATATAGTGTTACAGTGCCAAACACTTCGGCCATGCTGTATATTCTCTCTGGTGTACTGAATAGTTACATTTACGCGCAAATGACAGTGTTAACTGTCCATTACATTAAGCTGACTTGTCAAGAGGAAAATGGAATTTAAATGGGTTTGAATATGTGCGTACTTTTATCTTGGAAATCAAAAAGTGTGTAATTGTTTTTAAAAGAATCGAGCAGGCATCTCGTCTCTGTAAATATGCTGTAGACCATTGGGCCCGCTGATGATGTAATAACCTTCTTAATTGCACCATTTTCAGTGTTTAGTAATTAGCGTTGTGTAATGAGCCTCGGAGCGAGAGCCAAATGACGCTATCGCAGTGTGTTGTGTCCGAAAGCGGACTGCAGTGAAGTGGAGGACATCGTAGGCACAAGGGCGAGCTTATCGGGATCAGATCGGCTTCGAGATATTAGACCGCAATGGGGATGTTGCCTCCCTTCTTATTTAGCCTCTTCCTCCTGGGAAAAAAAGAGAAAATCACTTAAAAATCGGCCATCTAATCTCCCCCCTTTTAGTAAAGATTGGGTTTGGTGTTCAACAGAAAACGCCACGGCCGCATCGCAGTCTCGCTACAGAACCATCATTCAGAGGTCTGCTAATGGAGGTCAGGAGTGCCCCGACACGCTGTACGAAGAGAGGGAGTGTGAATCCCTTCCTGTGTGTCCGGTGTACAGGTAGAAAGTTTAATTAAACCATTTCCCTTTCCCATCCAAGGATAAAACATCTGCTCTGATATCACAGGTTGAGAAAGACGAGTAACCTCTCAATTTACTCGAGAGGTCTGCGTGTGCTCTTAATAATGGCATTGACATTAGATACCGTGAACTTTTCACACATACGCTCACGCTGTTTACGGTGGACCGTTTTTCAACGCTTTGTTGTTGTAGAAAAAAAAGAAAAAGAAAATTGACTTCAGGCTATGTTCAGAAAGCTAAAGTTGCATGATCTTATAGATGGTTAGTAATATTCACGGTATGAGTCATTCGGAATTTGCTGTTCAGCTTTGAGAGGCAGAGACAAAACAAGATGATTTCAAAAAGAAACTATGCAGAGGGTACAAAAACCTTTTTACTGAAGGTAGACTTTTGATATTTCTTCCCAATAACATTATCGAGCGCAGACGAGTAGGACAGTTTTGTATGGATCCTTTTTTGATTGCCGACATGAAGGCTGTGTAAATGAAGCTCTCTAAACGCGACGCCATCCTGAAGACGGTCTGTCCCTCATGCAAACATGCAGATGGAGGACACACAAGTGGCACAGCTGTAGCCCGGTTCCGGACTCGGTTCGACGTGGATTATCTGGACCGGGAGAAGAAGCCTGTGGAAACGGTTTAGAAACGAGAGGTGAGTTTTTTGTTTCTTTTATTGTTTTACACTCGCTGATTCAGGACTTTTAACAGCCAGAAAGTCGGAGACGGTTTGTCCTGATAGTCTGCATCCTTCCCAATGAGAACCAAGTCACTCACAGAAATGATACTTTATTTTTCTAATTCACACATTAAATTCTTAATTTGTAAAAAAATAAGGTGCGCCGCATTTGCATTTAATCAAATTGGTGCTAATGCTGTGTGAATAGAAATATATATATAGATGTGCTAAGTATATGAATGAAATGATATTTCCGTACTGATATCATAAATTGTTGTTGTGATAAATCCCCACCTGAATTAAATAATGTTTCTGATGACGTCAGTGATAAAGTGGCTCGCATTGCTTCAATTTAAATTCAACTTTCTACTTTGAACATCCGTGGTTTCAAGTTAAATGAGAGGTTTATTCTACTTATTTTTCATTATATATGTAACGTTCTATGTGTCTGTAAAACGGTGGGTGAATCTGAACTACACAATTTCTATGATAAAAAAGATATATATCCTTTTCCATTAGGGAGATATTTTTGCCTCTAGTCAAATAATCAAACATTGTGATGAATTGTTGTTGTGGAGAAACGATTATGAGCATGATACAAATTGCCTCCATCACGATATGATCATTTCTGTTAGCGGCAAATCATAAACATCGTACTGCTTCCCGACTGGTTTCTCTCCGGAGAGAGTGTGAAACGCGTTGTGTGTTTTCTGGACGGTTTACTCTCCTTCACAATAACAAGCGCGTTCCTCCGAGTGTGGACCGCCACTGGCTGCGATCGTTAAGAGCCCGAGTGTTAATTGGATCATTTCTGACTCCTTCACAGGAGTGTAAATGTCCCAATGAATCCCAGGAACTGGCTGTTCTATCTAATTTACCGGATTGATTCAAGTGAAGTTTTCGGGTGCTTTCTGTGCCGCCTTGAGAACTTTCCGGGGGGATTCTGCTCACTTTGACTTGGCAGGATAATTATGACTGACATTTCTCAAGTGAATTATTATGACTTTTCCGTGAGGATGGGAAGTGTCTGGTTTTCCCGGGTTAAGAGCGAGCCTCATTGACCTTTAGAGCGTCTTATTTGAATACTATTTGAGTTAAATACCTGTGACATTTCAGAAAAAGTGTCGGTTTGGAATTTGCAGACTGTAGAAATACTGGATTTAAATATGATGCAACAAAGATTTGTCCAGGGTTTTCTTTTACTCGGTAGCTGCCTGAACCAACTCAATGGAAAGGTAATAAATGTCACATTGGGGTATAATTAGGAAACAATGATGGGGAATATGGCCATATTAAGGGCATGGGGCCATTGGATGCTATGGATTGGGATATCAAAGATTTTATCACAGCGAGTTTCAGCAGAGGTTTCTTAATTAGTTTATTTAAGGACCATAAAAAATGTCTCACTGCCTGAAAAGAGCTTTTTTATGATATAATCTAACCCTGAAAAAAAGAGAAAAAAGATTGTATTCAGCCAATATCAACATGTACTTTTGCAATGCAGTCGGATTGCTCAATTGATCTGGGAACAGCTCTTGATTTTCAAGTTTTTGCTGTGTGAAATTTGTATTTCCTTAACATAAATTTCAGTAACGCTGACATTATTCAAGATGTATTTCCCACGCAGTTGATATTCACTGTAGTTTCAGCATCCTGGGATGTTTGAGATGATATTGCATATATCTGGAGCTGAATATGAACACGTTTTTGCAGCATTATCATGTCAGACATTCATCCTTTTCCTCTGCAAAAAAGGTGACCTATATATATATATATAATTTTTTTTAAAGCCACATAAGAATAAATGTTATACAGTACATTGTCCTTCTACTTTATTGGTGAACTAAAACATCAGTGGTGCATTTATACGCACTGTACTTTCACTATTATCCTCCTTTTATTTCTTACACTGCACTATATCTTGATTTTAAATTTCCTTTTCTTTTACTGGAGGTTTTGATGTTGTTAACGGGCTACATGTGAAGCACTTTTAAAATGCTTGCTTGATGCTTGTTGTTGAAATGTGCTATACAAACACAGTAGCCTAGCCTATTAAACCATTATTGTATAAACATATATATAATATATAACAATACAGCTGCATTAAATATAATGTATGAGCTATATCAGCTATGATCCAGTCCTGCAGGACCTGTTGTGTACTTTACTGTTGTTTCTGTCTGTCTTTTGGCCCCAAAAAGTCAATGGATGTGTTTTCTTTTTGACTGCTGAGACATTTCTGGGACTGACATCAGAAGTTTTCAGAAACTGAGTTCCCTGAGATTCCTACAAATCCCTCTCTTCTCTGCTCCTGCATCGTCCATAAATAAAGTCATACAATTCAGGATAATTTTCTCTCAAGGGTTCTTAATCTTTTGCTACGAAAATTACCCATCTGACTGTTAATAAAATGTTAGGGTCACCTTATTATTTTGCATCATCGGGGACATTTGGGGTGAACTATCGCTACCTGAGAAGACACTCGAGGCAAACAGCCACTGTGGAAAAACCTTTTGTGTTCCGTGAGGTTAACATAATTCTAGTTGCCAGGTTGGCTCTCATGCGAGAATTACAAAGTTTTAGTAAAAAATAGGGCTGTCAATAGATTAAAAAAAATAAATGAATCGCACATTTTGAAATTCATTAATCTCGATTAATGGCGATTAATGAATGTTGTTGTTACAATATTGTTAATAATGATGATGTTTGTTTTGTGATTACTCCTAAGAGTAATGCGCAATCACTTTAGAAAGTGTATATTTTAGACACTGTTGTTTGATTGTTAATATTATTTTACACACAAAACTACACACATTCGATCATCTTGGAGGCAGAATTCCACCTGGTGGAACATGTTGAACTAGCGACTCTTTCGGGCTGTGGTGGTCCTTTGCAGACTGTTTGCTGGGCAGGGTAACGTTAGATGTTAAGATAGAAGTAGCATAGTAGCTAGCTTAGCATACCAGTGGTCCGTTTGTCACTCACCCCTCTTCTGTTTGACACATGGAGTAATTCCTCTGTTCTCTGCTGTATGTCGCAACGCTGTTTGTTTTACTTCCAATTTAAAAAGCTCTGCGGTCAACTTCTGGAACGTTAACTATGTTCAAATATTTTGTTGCATTAATCTAGGCCACATTAATCGCATAGATTCATTAATTAATGTTAACCGCCCTAGTTGAAAATGAAAAAGCTTTTGTGCCCGACATCACAGATGAGACTTTCTGGCAAGTAATTTGAGGTTTGAGCAGATCAACCCCAACTTTCCGTTATTTAAAACCGCAAAGCCCGTATAAAGTTGTCTCGGAGAACCTTGAGAGAAGGCAATGAGCCAGTGTATTTCACACTGGCTACGACGCATTAAGGCAACATGTGGCCTTCCCCGAGTGGAGCTGGAACTGATCTGAGAAATGATTCAATAGAAAGTGACTGATCACCTGTGCTTCAGGACTTAATTGTTCCAATTAATCCGATACACATTACTCTTGCCAAGGCATCAAATAGAATACAATTATACAAGGTGTATGATTGAAAAATTGTGCTAGACGATGTGAAATGAGTCAGATATCAATCTGCTATAATTTGAAAAGGAGCCTTGATAAAATAGGATTTTTTTTAATGCGTGTATGTAAAGTCTACAAAATTTGATAAACCTGGGCAGTGACGAGCTTCCTCAAAGCTCATCCTTCCAACTGCCCATCCAGAAAGTGAACCTTTCTAAGTAACTATGTAATTAAAGATGATCCCCGTCAATGGCGCTGATACCGTGATATAAATTGCTGACATTTGTGAGAGGAGATGATGGGAGAGGCCACACAATCCGGCTCGGGCAGCCAGAGGTTGAGATAATTATGTAAAAAATGGACGGCTCCCTGTTCCAAACGAGAATGTCAGAACTTGCAGGGCCGGGTATTGCTAGAATAAGGTGCTGGGGATGAGAGAATGAGGTTGGTAGATAACATTATTCGAGGTAAATGAACAGAATTAAATGCCAACAGGGCCGCTGAATTATTCCCTCAGTGGGAGGCTAATTGGACTAATAATGTAACAGCTGTTAATGATTGGTTGTTTATCAAACACTTTTGTTAAAGGGAAAAATAAGAATCACATACTAATATCATTTCCCTTTTACGTAACTCCTCCATTGCAAAGTAAAAGGTTTGTTTGTTTATCGCTGTGATTGTGAACGCGGGATAAACACACGTTAATAATAGCCATCATCTCCCTCGCAGTGCCTTTGTGGAGGCCTTAAATGTAAATCATCATCCCACACATTCTCAGCAGACTTGTAGAAACCGAAGAGTTTTTTGTCAGAGGGCAAAATTTAAAAGTCAAATAGAAATCAGTCAAATGGATTAAAGGCATGTTTGTATGTCAGTGAATCCTCAAAGACGTTAACTTGCATTAGTCATTCACATCAATATTTAAGAGGCTCCCCATTTATGTTACTTCGCTCTTGGCCAAGGCTGAACCAGTGTTTAAACAATGACTTATTATCCCTGACACCTTGCCAGGTGCAATGCAGACTTAAGTATTTTGTTTTTTTGATAGTTGGGGAAAGTATTTTATTACTTCAGGTTCCTGAGACGTATAATCTTTTTCCTTCAAGATTTAAATATGGACTTTTTTTTTGTTCTGGTAGAAGGATATTGAACAATATGTATAGTTTTTGTTTCATAATCAAACATAACACCAGATTGTCGGGATTTCCATCTCTGGAATAATAAACCAGTTTGATTTCTACAAGCGATACAGCGTCTTGCTACCGATTAGATAATTCATCAGGGGTGAACATATTCTCTCTGATTAGAAAGACTAACAACAAATGAATAACTTTTTCTTTAACAAAACAAATTTATGAAGAATTACCAAAAATGGACACATTGCGGCTACAAAGGCCTTTTTGTGAGTGTATCCCTCTCTGATCCGATACTGACACACTGAGTAGAGAACGGTTTCACCGATGCGTCAAAAGTATTTAGCCTCCCTGATAATCTGTAATCATGAATGCCTAGTTTCTCTCCATAAATCACAGTTGTCCGATAACGTTGTCGTGCTCGAAGGTTGAATCAGCATTTATCTACATCTCAACACGAAAGCTGCTCTGCTTTTTTATAGCTATGACTTACACAGAGGCAATTCTCCAATGACCTTTTCTCTGCCATTTAGGTAAGCGTGAAAGAGATTAGCGGAGCCGTCCCTCCCACTTCCTGCTCACGCAAACAGTGCAGATGAATGTGACCTATTGCGAAGACGTGTCTTATTCCAGCACGAATAACCTACTGGACACATGTAGGCGGTTTGGAGACAATGCCAATGACTCAGTGTCTACTTATGTGTGCATCGTCTGCTTGAGCTGAGTGACATTCTCCCCCCCCCCCTGTGTTTGCAGGACTCAGTTGTGTCGGCGAAAGCGACGAGTCGGCCAATATGACAGAGTGCCTGCGCTGGGCCGGCCCCTTGCCCCCCCAGATCAGAGAGTGCCGGGTGGCTTGCAAGGATGACTGCGCGCTAACGGCCTGGTCCAAGTTTTCTGAGTGCGCCGGATGCGGCGGCTCCCGCCGGCGCCATCGTGCGCTCGCAGGTAAGGTTCCTCTACCTTCCTTCACATATCGGCACTCAAGGCAACCGTTTGATCTTTGCCAGTAGTGGGTGGGGGTGGAGTGGGGGGGCGTCGGACGGCCCACCGACAAGCTCAGCTCAACCCTGTAAATTCACAGGCCAGGGAAGAAAAACATCTTCCCTAATTGGACCATTAATGCGCAGCGTTGCTGGCGATACACGTCAGGTGTACTCGCGTGGGCCGCAGCACGAAGCAGTGACCTTTTGCCTCCGACAACAACTCGAGTGCGTCCTCTGATCTCCAGCGTTCTCTAGTGATGGCGGCGGGGCATTCCTCACTGGCCTCGAATTCCCCGAGCGTTCACATACTACGCGCGGCGATCCGGTGTGACCTCGTCTCTCTCTCTCTGTAACGTTCCACTGTATGTCGGGTCCAAATCCGGTTTCTCACAGCTTGCAATCTCTTATTTCAGTGCAGATGGCAAATCTGAGTTTCATGCTGCGGTGGCAGACCAGGCTGGATACTATTTGTCTTCATGAATATTTCATCCGATGCCGGAGGGGTTGTAGTAAACAGATCCCGTGTCCTTCTACAGTACTATGAGAGCCATGCACATGAAATCAAACCCAGGCTTTGTGTTTTACGGCTGTAATGGTAATTAAAGCTTAGTTTATCCACTTAACGCTTTCTTAACTTTCAGGTAAATTGACGGAAAGCAAATCGCAATGTGGGTTTCAACCTTTTGGACCCTGTTAAGGGAGTTGGAAGCTGCTTGGATGATGAAGCTGTGTGGAAACGCGTTTCCCAGCCATATTGCAGTGTTCTGTGTCTAAACCAAAAGTAATTTTGACGGTCTTTGAAGCTGTTTGACAGAATGCTGGTCAGTTGTGACGCGTCTCGCGTCTCTTGGATTTGCTACAGCTGAATTCTTACAGAGAACATAGACGTTTACAGCAGCCCTGTAACCAACACATGGGAATAACGCCGGAAAAGTGTGTGCGTTTGGCAAAGTACACAAGGGCTCTAATTATATTGTTTTTGTTATTCTTTTCATGACAGACGTTCTCCGGTTTAATGCGTGATTTTCATCTTGTCACAATTGAAAAAACATCCCTTGCATCAGCCACAACAATGAGGTGTTTACAAACAAAAAGGAAAAAGACACACAGTCACACTTTTTGACGCTTTACACCTCTAATGAGAAGAAAATAACTCATGCATGTTTATCCAATTGAGGTTTTCCTCCAATCGCTCCAATTGCGACCCAAAGTCTAAAGACATGCAAATAAGGGTAACTGATTATTTTATATTGCCTAAAAAATGTTCTCGGATACTGTGTCGTCGGCCCACCTTATTACTGTCTTCCTTTTTTTGGGGGGGGGCTGGCGAGCATGACTGGGCACAGTGGGTATCGCGGCCTTCATGGATTAAAAAGATCCCCGGGAGAGGATTTGCATTCATTCTGCAGAGTAAAATTCTAAGAAAAAACAAAAGCGTTATCTTTCTTCAACTAAACGGGGTTTGTAAACGTGATGAATAGGCTGAATCACACTGCGATGAATGGATATCGAAAACCTCTTTCATCTGGTTTGTTCACATTATTGGATAATGATTTGCTGATGTTTTAATGATGCACATTTACGCAGGTTCTTCCGTGATCAGAATCTGTCTCCTGTCAGAAAAGTGACGGCTTGATTTGTGTGGAAAATGTTTTCAAACGATCCCTAAATTGACGTTTTTTTCTTCTTTTTTTCCCCCATCGCTTTAATTAGTATTGACTTGTAGCTAATTTCTTCTTCTAGAGCGGCATGTTAAATGTTGTATGGGCATTTGAGCGTTAAGTTCTCTGAATTATTTCTGCCACGGACCAGAGAGCAGAGTTGTGTGTGTATCTGTTGGAGCTTAACTGCAGATAAATGGGTTAGCTACACTATCCAGCTTTGTTACTGAGCCATTCAAAACTGCTCTGAGTCTCTTCTTTGTCAGAGTAAGCTTTTAAATGCCTCATGGGCATCATTTCAGCTCTGCCTTTTATATAAATACTGTATTTCTAATGGTCAATCTGCCAGGGGGAACTGAATTTAGTTTCTTTCAGTTCATGACTCAGTTTTATCTTTTGCTCTGTTTCCTACTTTGCTCCCATTAAATAGTCTAATATGATGCTACTATTTTATACTTTAATTTAATTGATTACGTGCATTCTTGTTATATTTCATTTCATCTTATTAAATTGGCCATAAATAATTAATTGAGTGCTTAAAAATCTACCCAGAACTTCAGGTAAGAGGGACAAGCGTTATGACAACTGAAGATATAAGCTGCAGTGTGGGGAGACGGTTTCAATTAAATGTATTATGCACTTATATCCCACAACATATGGGTTTGTCTGTTGGGTGATATGTTATAGGAGAGCTGGGCTACAACGGAATTGAGGGACTAACAATAAATACACACAGCATAACTACCTTTAGATGGTTGTTTCTTTTGGTTTGTCTTAGAGGACAGTTTCATGCCTACATTTCACAAGTTCCCTCTATACTTCACATTCCATCAAAACCACTTGCACTGAAAATAATTTGTTCCTGTTAGTTTTCTAGCAGCCTCATACAATCAAAAGCATTCTCATTTGCTCAATTATCTCTGTGAGATTGAAACCGCAAACAAATGCTCATAAATTATTACTACCAGCTATCGATACAAAGAATTGCGGATTAAAAATGCAACATGATTGTGCATCAAGACATCAGAGCATCGGTTGAGTGTTTTAATCAGCGTTGAAAATTGGAAACAGAAATCGAGTGGAGGAACGCTTTTTGTTGACATTTGCCTGAAGGGGACATCTGTCACCGTCAATCTATTGATTGACATATTTATCAAGCTAATTCATACGTGGCCTTACTATTGCACGGCGGATACTTCACTGCAGATGCCAATGAGCAATATTATCTCCGCTAATGCTACATCCTATCAATAAATGTCACACGGGGAAAGTTTCAGTTAAAGTGCATAATGCTAAAACTATTTGGTAATTGCGGTTGGCCTGAGTGGGGCCGTTGCCTGTAACGCAGTTGTCAAAATGAACTAATGTTGCGCTGGCACTCGACAATCAGCCACCAGCAGTGGCGAAGAGCGAACAGATTGTTGGGGAGCCGCCATCCGATGGCAGCGAGTTCGCACTCGGTGAAGAATGTTTGCAATCAGACCCACTACAGAAACAGATGGGCCGCGCACCGGGGACACGGGAGGCCGAGGACACCCAGGATCCATGAAACTAAGGCGTGAATATACAGCTGAATTAGCCACGCTGCGGTGCCGCTCTAACGCGCAATGCATCGTGGTGAGGGAAATCCGGCATGGAGATTTTTAAAGGCGGTTCTTTGCCGCTCGCCTTACGTGAATGATGTGTTGGATGCCGTTTCAGCGTGCTGCAGGAATCAGTACGACTGGACTCGTGGGCCGGTGTTGGTCACTCATGTTGATCTCAATAATATTTCACAGATAACTTTATCCAGTCAATAAAACAGTTTGAACATAAGTTCTGAAACATGAAAGATATGTCAAAACACTTGTTTTTGACATATCTTGCAAACATTTTTTCTTTGGATTGTCTCTCATCATTGGGACGGAAGTCCTGCCACGGATTCCCATCAAATGGTTTAGTTATTTTTTTCTTCAAACAATAAACTATAGCATTCCTGCCATGTTGATGACAGGAGCTAATTGACGGCTGCTGAAAACAGAACAAGACCCACGGCTCTATTATATAACACCGTTGAATGATGCCGAGCTGACAGTCAATCACGAGAAAGATTTGTCAGGAGTTGGACGGCTTGACAGTTTGTATCTGTTACTTGTCCTGATATGAGAAGTGACAGTGGCTGAGAGGAACAACACGCCTTTCACCCGCCGCACAATTACTTTCCTGCTCATCTATTTATACTCATCAGATAGAATAGACAGGACTAATTATTTGAAGCCTGAAGTGAACTGTATTGAGTGGTTAGCTCTAATGGTCTTAATGGAGGTCTTAATGGGGGTCTTTGAGATTGAAAATACATTTTCCTCCTCATTAGACAAGAGAGTTGGAGCTGGTGTTTTTGGGGTGTATATTTGATTTTAAAGAGAGAAATACGTGCTGAAATAATTGACTCCAGTCCACGGAGCATCTTTCATTTCAGGTGATGTTGCTGACATGATGTGATTAGTGTAACCACAATCACGTTTGATTTCACAGACACATTTATGGACCAAATACCACAGATTAACACCCCGCAGACGTATTGTGCTGTGTGGCTGGAAAGGGTAAATATCACAAAGTGACTCCTGGAATGAGCATCACTGACTGATCAACTAACGGAATATCTCTGCATCGTCTCCCGTTCCTCCACCGCCGCCAAGCCCTCGAATCAGAAGCTCTCTGCGCACCGTTTATCATTATTATTGAACAGCTACCGCTGTGTGTTAGTGAGAAGTCACAGATGAAAAGGCAAAGAGAGGGAATAAATGTGCAGAAGAGAAAGCAAAGAACTTTTCTTTTTGTGTTTCCTCCTCAGTGGGAGAACACTCGGCTGCTGCAGATTTTTTGACTCTTTCTGGGACTTTGTGTCTGTAATGTACGTGCAGGGCCTGAGTAAGGGGGCATTTGCATACAAATGACACACTAAAGGTTAGAAATATAAAATGGTTTTCCAGTTGAATAACAACGTCATCTTGTTTGTATTTTGCATTGCACCCGCACAGAATGTGTTGTTTCTTGTAGTAAAACAATTACTCTCCAAGTCTAAACTTCAGAGGGGTTTAGAAATAGTAATGTAACAGAGACATTAAGAGTGCACCATTCCCTTAAGGGGCTTCAAAATAAAAGGGATGAATTTGAGCTGAATATCCTATCAAATAATTATTACTGGGGGTCATTTGGAGGGCTTCTAAATATGCATCACGGGCAGTAGGGCTCATACAGTACTTACTTAGCTATTAAGGCAATTTCCTCTGAATGAAAGTCAAAACTATGGGGAAGAGTCAATTAATACAACCTCCACACGGTGCTGTAGCTACAATATGTGTTATGTAGACAGAAGTTTAGAAAAAAGTGCTGGTTTTATTTTTCACTTGTAGTCTAGTTTGCTGACCAGCCGCTATTTGAGTCTTGTAAATTCATTAAGAATGATCAACATGGACAATATATATACACATTCTCTTTTTTTATCTGAGTTTCTAATATTTTTTTTGGAACCGCGATTCAGCTGCTCACCCCTTACCTTACTACCCTTACCCTTACTTGCCATTTTCATTTAGAGGATTCACCACCACCCAGGCCACGACCGTTCTCAACCGTTTTCGTCAATCTTCCCCTCAGGTCGCAGTAAAAAGAAGGAGCATTGCCTGAACAAGGAGCTCTACCCTCTGGAGGAGACGGAGACGTGTCCCTGTGTTGAGTTCTTGTCCCAGCCCTACGGGAACTGGTCTGCGTGCATCCTCCACGGTCCCTCAGCTCCGGGGTTGCTGCAGGGCTGGACAAGCCACCGGGAGGTGAAGGAGTGTGGCCGAGGTCTGCGCTACAAAGCAGTGGCCTGCGTTAACCAGCGGGGACACCTGGTGAAGCCCACGCACTGCACGGACTCAGGTAGGACTCACGGACACGGACATGTTGCAGGCGCTGAGGGTGTTACTACTTTCAGAGATTGGCCCTTTGCAAACCGGAAAACGTATCATGATGATTAGACTCAATCCGCGTACCGTTCAGTTTGACATTTCTTTTGATCTCGGGAGGAAGGTTTTATTTTGTGAAGCTCCAATCCCTCCATGGTGTGTGACGTCGCCATTCACAATCAACCCTAACAAGAGGGTTCAATAAAGGCACATATTCAGTACTTGCCAGTAGGCCCGACATGAGTAGTCAGATTAATCAGAGATTGTTTTAAAGTGCCAAGTTAGACGTGCACTCATTGTTCAGGTAATTGCCTCTCAGTGTCAAAATGAGCACGTACGAGGTCCGGCGGGCTGAAAGCCGGTGGTATTTCTGGTCTGACATTATCGTCAGTCACTAAACGAGGCCTCTCCCTCCTTTCTGCCATGGTTCCATTGCAGGCTACGTGGAGGAGGTTTGCCACGTCCCTTGCCCCCTGGACTGTAAGCTCAGTGACTGGTCAGCCTGGTCTGCCTGCAGTGCATCCTGTGGCAGTGGGTTGAAGACCAGGTCCAAGTGGCTCAGGGAAAAGTCTTTCAATGGAGGACGCCCATGCCCCAAGTTGGATTTGAAAAATCAGGTAAGGTGTGCACCAGTGCTCGTGCGGCTCCCTGTGCCATACAGGTAGACAGATTGTAGAAGGCAACTCTTATTGTGACAGCACGCTTTGTCAGCGGTGTGGTCTATATAGTTTGAATGAACAACCACGGTTCACTTCATTATCCATTTACATTGTTGTCAAGTCACTTCTTCCCAGAATTGAATGTTTCAGGGCATTCCACTTACCCCCCTCCCCCCCTCCCTAGTGCATCAATACAAATTGTTCTGCATAATCTCGATACTTCAGCACAGACACGCAGCATCATCCTGCCAGGATCATTAATACAGTGCAAGCTGCGGTTTAGCGTTTTAATGTGTCAGACATCTCCTGTCGGGTTTTGGAAAACACTGCCCTCCAGCTCAGGTTGCGTCGCCGGCCAATGTTGTTGCGTGAATACGCAGAGGAGTCGTCGCATTTCAGCGGTACGCTTTATCACCCATCTGCCACTGGGACCGCCAGGGTGACCTGCTCATTTTCTACTGTCTGCGGTCCGACCAAATCATTTGCACTCAAAAAGACGTGCCCTGTCTGCCTGTATGACATAAAAAAAAAACAGGGTGGGGCGTGTGGAAGTGGAGTGGAGAAGCGGGCAGATGGGAGCTCTCGATATTCCTCAGTCAGGTTTCACCCGTACGTAAGACCCGAATGTCGTGCGGCGGCGCACCTCTCGCGGGGTCGCGGTTTAAAGAGGAGCGGCGTGTTATGAGTGCCGCCTGTATGCTCGAATGGGCACGAAAGGACACTTAAGTTCTCGGGGGTTCGTATAGAGATGAGATATTCCAGCGGGTTGCAGAGGGCGTTTGTGTATGTACAGATGGTTAAGTGCCCGCTAACAAGGTCTCGGGCCGGCCCCCGCGGTAACGCCCCGCAACAACCCTCGCCATTGAGATTGCAGCTATCCGTCGTCGAAAGCCCTCGCAGATCCATCCCAAAGGGGGTGCGAGAAGGCCTCGCTGTTAACATTATCAAATTGGCCATTTTAAATTGAAGTGCACCCTGGCGAGGTGTGGGTGGCAACAACGCTACAGTATCACCTCTACTCTTCTTCGACAGGCGCAGTTGTTGTGTTGAACAAGGAAAGGTCAAAAGTGAATTCTTGAGAGGGACTTAAAAAAGCAACCTCCTCTTTGTCTTTGAGCCAGTGCACTTCACTGCTCAGACCACATGCAGCTGGTCTTTACTGCTTCATTTAGTCTCTCTGAGGATACGCCGTAAAAAAAGGGTATTCACATTCCTAATGGTCCTCTTCTTCTCTCGCGTGCACTCGCTCTCCCATTGCCCGCTGTGAACTATTCTCCAACCAGAGTGTGGCCTCGCTCACCAACAGATGTTCCCCCTCGAGCCGCAGCGAGAGGTGACCGGCTTGACAGAGACGGAATTTACAGTGCTTCCACAACTCATCCTCTCATCTCACGCTTGAGTGAGCAAGTAAGATAGGGAGAGAGATAGAGAGGGAGAGATAGGGCCGCCGTGAAAATAACGAGGGGGAAAGTGGCCGCGATGTCAAACGGACGGCGTAGGAGTCGGGCCGCAAAGTCAACTTTGAACGCGCTGTTAATGAGGTAAGACTTTGTGCACGGGAAGAAGACGATCAAGAAAACAACTGTTGAACCGAGATGAATGATTCGCGGATGCGCTCACTGAGAAGCGTTTTGGGGCTTCTTCGCCGAGTGAGAAGTCCGTTCATTAAGCCCCGTCGCCTTTTTCAGTCCAGCAATTGTGTGGCAACAGATTTGCTACTCTTATTCAGCTCAGCCGGCCTGTCGAGTCTGATTTCTGCAAACGCCGAAGCAACGTGCACGGGGGATGTAATAAGGGTTGTCCTGTTCTTTATTAGATTAGGTGAATATTACACCCCACAACCTATTACACAACCCTTCTATCGAAAAATCTGTATGACATTATACTCTGTCTTTGTCTGACAATGATATAATCCAAACAGACTCACTGTTTACCAGAACAAACGTGTTCTGAAGGTATGAGGAGGGGTTCGGGGGAAGTGTCTTGTGACAGTTTGACAGAAACACGACTTACGCCTGTATATAGTCACAATAGGGCATCCTGCAATTTATTTGTTAGCTCCTTTGTCTACTCCCTTGTGAGACTAAATTATTCATTTCTTAGTGACATGTTCAGAATATCTCCTGGTGCTAAGTGATTATAAGAGAGCGGGGGTGTGCAGGATGTGTTCTTCATTGTCGATGCATGGCTCTGAAAGTAAAAATGTATTTATTTCCACACGGTTAGATTGAAATGCATACCATATATAAGAAAATATCCAAGTGCTGATGAATCCACACGGATTTAGTTTACACTGTGGCATATCTTTAGGAAATACGTCCCTACAGGAGACGGCTCACAAATCAAATCTACAATCACAGGAGAAATTGAAAAAAGTGTTAGCTACCAAATGCTGAAATATGAAGTGATATATATATATATATATATATATATATATATATATATATATATATATATATATACACTGTTTAATATTACGGATTCTATATATGTTTCTGTTCTCTTCTTCTTCTTCCTCATTTAAACTGGCATAGAACACAATACAATCGATCTGTTGTCCATTGCTTTTGATCTGCGTGTTGCAGCTGCAGGTCACAGTGGTGGAGGTTGGTTGAATGAGATGCTTTGTCTTGATGCTTTTTGTTCCCCGTATGGCCCCTTACGCCTTGTGAATACTGATAGCCAGAGAGAGAGAATGGGTTTTGATTTGAGAATGGAGACTCTCGCCGCATGTGTGCAAACTCTGAGTGAATACTCGTTATACGCGTCCTCAAGTGAAGTGGCATGGTTGAACCTGAGTGTTGGGGCTGGCACTACGTACAACGCTCCCTGACAAGGGGATGCAGCACATTGAATAATATTGAAAGATGAACATAACTGTGAATCATCTGAAGAAGGTTTTCTTCTCTGTGTAAACAATTTTTACCGTAGCTGCTGATTTAGTTCCTTAGTTTAGCTCCTTTTAGAAAGCCTTGGTTGTAATTGATTTGATCACAAGTGCTGTTCAACACTGTGGACAATTAATCAAGGTGTTGCAGTTCATCTGCAAATAATTAAATACGTGATTTAACTGGTTTGGTAAATACAATATGAATCACAGGAGAAAGGGTGAAATTTAGGTGAAGAGGCAACACAAGTATCATTCAAGGAACAGAATTTGTATTTGACACAATTTACCTTTGTTTTATATGCATGACTTTGTACTGCAGGAAAGAATTTGGCTGTTTAATTCACTGAAGATAAAATTAAAATCTGGGAACCAGAAGCATGTATAGCAGATTTCATCACAATCGAATCCTTCATCCATCGACATTGTCCATCTGTCTGTAGCAAGCAACAGCCAATAGAAAGTCCAACGAAGAGAGGGATCCCAAACATCAGAAAAAAGATGAAAGAGAACACACTGCCTTGTTTTTTACCCGATTGCTCTCAGGTGCCAAACTCATATCTCTCCTTCATTAGGACAAAATACTTTTGGAGCCAACTGCTGATGGAGCTACCTGAGGCCAATGAGGTGTAATTAACGTCGAGCAGTGCTTGGGCATGTGCCCCCTCCCCCACCCCCCCAACCCCCGTAGGCCCAGGGCAAAGATCAGAGTGTCTCCTTGCATTGCAAACCGTGCATATTGTTAAGGCAGCCCGAAGCACTGCCACCAAAAAAAGGATCCATTCTGGAGCCTCCGTTTCCTCTTCAGAGCCTCGAGCTACGCAGATTGTCCACAGCATTTAATTCAGCTACAAAAGGTTAATCACAGCTTTTATCTGCTAATAACCTTGTAGTTTGTGGATGGGTGAATATTAAATACACGCTTATTATTTGATAACTGGGAATGATTTTTTAAAGACAGAATCACTGTGAACTTTGATGTCTAAAATGAATGTAAATACAACCACTAAACTCACAGTTTTTACTCAAACACATTAATCAATCAAGCAAATACTTGATTACTGTATTCCTCTACATTTTACACTGTACATTGTAACATGCAGAGATGCACGTACTTTATATATTCACTACATATTCATTGTCCCAAAAACAAAAATAAATAGGCCCTACATATAATATCAAACTAAAACAAGATTGAGAAAGTGGAATTACCATTTATCAGGAAGAAACATAAGACAAAGGGGCCCAAGAGGGGCCGCGGGTATTTTCACTGTGAAATTGGGTCGTGACTATACCAAGGTTTTCAAGCTCTAACTTCTCCTAAGTGAGAGGGAAGGCGGTTGAGGGAACTCATTCCCAAATGTTTGTGTAAGTGTGTGACAAGGATCTTTGACCAGAGCGATTATTAAAGGTTGATGAAGGGTTAAGTGCTTGCAAAACGTCTTCGCTAATGCAATACTGTCTTGCTGAGCTGCGTCGCGGTAATGGATAACAAAGTAAATGACTAATGGAATTATTTTGGAGCTAGAAATAGAGCTTGATGGCCAAATAATTTGCGTAATTATGGAAAGCCGAGGCATTGCCCTGCGTCGTGCCAAAGAAGGATGCAAGACATAAATCTTGTAGAATTTATCGACGTCCAGTCGGAGAGAGAGTATGATGAACACTCACTGCCGACGCTCCGAAATCAATTTTAGAGACGTTATAGTTGTGTATCTGGAGGCCATGTCCGGGTGCTGGTGTGATAAGCTACTCATAACATGGAGAAAAAAGAAGAAAAAAAACTAGAACGCTGCACTTAATAGAGTGCAACTCTCTGCCAGGTGTGTTTACAACCAACGCTGCTACCGTGTTTGATGGAGTGAATACAAATGAAAATGGTCCCCCTGTCGAGGCTGCGAGTGTTGCAGATGCACGTTCCACTCAAACATCTCGCTCGACACACACAACCGTCGGCCGCGCCACACGCCACGTAGTATGTTCAACGCTCCCGCCGTCCATCCCGCTGCGCGTTGGTTCTCCTTGCCTGTTTTTTCAGTCGGCCGCATCGAGCCTCTTAGCCCGCGAGGTCTGCAGAGCACCGCCCGCAGAGGCAGTTAACTATGTCTCTCCTCCTAATGAGATGACGAGATTTTCTGAGTGATGGTTAATTATTCAGACGCACACACACACACATAGACAGGTGTAGAGACAGAGGCCTCTATCGGACAGTTTAGAGCAACTGAGTCCTTGAGCTTGCGGTCATCATTGAGCACAAAGTAATATACATATATATATATATATATATATATATATATATATATATATATATAAATATATACGTATATCAGGCTGATGAGCCGAGCGGTACACACGATTAGCCGTGGACAGTCATTGCACATGCAAGCGTGCCAAATACCCAATCGGGCAGAGATCATTAAAGCTGAAGATTGCAGGTTCACTGTGTCTGACACAGTTTCGCCGATACACATTTGAATACAATCCTCCTATGGAGTTGAAATGGCTTCCTTCTTGAAGCTCATTAAACCACCTTTATATTGCAAAAAAATGCGAAGCGCCGGGTTTAAGCTGAAGTTACATTCAGCATTCAGCATACATTCGTTTTTGTAAATGAGGTTATTTGGGAGGTGATCATCAGATGAGAATAGATCCAACAGTCTTCCTCAAAGGAGCCATTTACGTGTCTCTTTGGAGCTGTGATGATACTAATGTGTGACAATAGCAGACATTGAGTGCTTTTTTTTGTAATCTTAGTGTTGACCAACCTTTTGATCTTGCTGTGAGGCCTGTAGTTATTTCTGTTTTTTACAATCTTTTATTCATTAAATCAAAATGTATTTGTAAATTACCTACATATTCAGTTCTTGTTATCCTGTTGAACACATTTGACTGAGAGTCACCTGTTCAATGCCAGGCCACCGTTGTATGTATCGTACTCTGTAAAATCCACCGAACAATAACTGTGGTTGCACGCCCTTCTATTTAGAGCTTCTAATGTTGTATTATTTCACAATTAGCACAGCGAGTTGATTGGGTTAATTTATTCGGTGAGCCCCTAGACGGTGTTTTGTCCCACTTACGTCAAGTTGAAGTTTGCCAGAGAAGCTGACAACTAGACAGATGCTTTGTCTCCTGAATATTTTGTCGAAAGTAACATTACGTAGTAAGTAGAGGTTTAAAAACTGTATAGCGTCCTATAAAAAACTGCAGCTTGCATTCGATTGCACACATTTTAAGCCAATGCAGCAATGGAGACTTTCTGGCAATTCCTCAATTTTTTTTATGTAAGAGTGTGCTCCTCTTTAAGGCTTTCTGTGCCAGAAATTCCTGTAGGAGGGCTTTGCGTGTTCTATTTTATATTTTGGGATGTATGCACAGGCATCATCGCGATGGCAGTGTGTGTATGTGTGCAGGTTTTCATCGCGGGGTCAGGAAGCTTGATTTGATTGAAGCTTTAACTTCGAAAAAAAGTAAATCCGAGCCTGAATAGTAACAGCAACACTTATTTTTAGAAAACCGTGTTTAGACACAGAGCACATAGCCACTCTGAGCATATGCTCGTTGGCGTCGACCACCCTCTCACCATCTCCAGACAAATTAGTTTATCGGAGTTGCCTTCAGCTGGAGAACTGTCCGTTGCACAGCTGTTGCAGTCCGACTGCAGCAGCATTTTAAAACACTATGAGTCATATATTTTGGCAAAAATATCCAGGGCCACTAGATCCACTGCAGACGATGGAGTATTTAATCATCCTTTACTCTCATTAATGAAACACAGAGCAGAATGCAGTATTTCAACAACAAAAAAATCTAATTTAAGAAAGACAATACATTTCTGTCACTGCAGGCAAAATCTAAACTAATGACCGTATCATTGTTCTTCTCTCCCCTGCCCAACTTCTGGCTTGTCATGCACTGCTAATATGGACATCCACGCAGGCTCAGGTCAGTGCCGTTCATTCTGTTCACATACTAATGAACACAAGATGCATGCCAGATCTTTTCAGGGAGCATATACTCTTGTGACCCCGAGAGCAAGAACAGCACGATTTGAGGGAGTTTAACATGGATGGAAACCAGTTTTCTAAAGTGCATTTAAATAAAATTCCATCTGCTTTTTAACTATTGGGATTCAGATTGGCATTTTCACAAAGAACCCCAAAAGGTTTATTTGATTTCAGACGTGATTAAAAGGAAACAAATAGCAGAATGTAGAGATGGATGGAGATCGGCAACGTAACGTTACCAAAGAGATAATCCGGTCTGAACCATTTCATTCTAACTGATGGTCTATTCTGCTTTCCTCTGCGTTGCGAGCCCTTCCTAACTGTGTGTGTGTCGACGTACTTGGGAGCAGATCTTCTGCTTGTTTACTCTAGTGCACCGGTATTAACCAGCCAACATATACGTTGAATATCTACCTGTGGTTCTATGCTTTGTAGGACCGTAACCCAATTGGTCTGAGCTAAAGTCACACGCTTCATCACTCAATAAATGGTATCAGTGCACAATATCATTTTGCATATATTGTGGAAACTGAATGTTTTTTTTTTCCACCTGTGAATATTAGCGGTTGAGCTGAAATTGTGTTTCAGCCTGCTAACGGAGACAGTGGGAGCATAGCAGTTGCCAGTTTGCCCAATAGGGGCATCTGCAGGGACAGATGGGAGATGATGAGGGTGTGTAATAGGCATCTGTGCGGTCCGCAGGGGAGGGAACACTCAACACCCACTACCTTTCTATATACTCTCACAAACACACACACACACACACACACACACACACACACACACACACACACACACACCTACAGCCATCCATTACAGCTTGTCATAGCTTTTTCCACAAATTGTCCTCCAGAGTAAAGCTTTTACTGCTGCAGACTTTTAGATAGATAGATTGAGAGTAAACATGTGTTTACAGGAACATCTCGCTAGCTCTTCCCTTGGTTTCACAGACATGCCGGAATCATGTGAGAGATGAGTGGGTGAGGGGTGAAAATGCTCGACATCCAACCAATGTCATCCACAACTAAAGGGCCTTTTGCCCCGACCATTGTCGCCCTCTCCATGTCATGCATAGAGTTTATTTGAGTATGAATAAAAATTAAAGAACCACATTATGGTCCTTTTCTAACGTGCCATCAGATCGTTCAGAGCCCTGCTGGGGTGAAAGACATTCCCTTTCATTTGTGTCACTATTTCTGTGCTTATATTATGAATGTGGAAAATTAAAACCAACATCATCCTGACATGAAACTCTAGCACCATTGGCAACAACTAACTACTGCCTTAGTTTGGAGAGGGATGCACATCAAAAACGTCCCTGAGAATCATTTTGCAATATGTGTTGTAACCTTAAACCGCTTGCTTACATGGATGACTACTACAGTAAAACCTATAGCAACCTTATTAGTGTACTACACAAGTTAATGATATCCTAGTATCTATGTATTTACCAGCTCTATACATGCATATGCTTACTTGTATATTTTCTGCTTTCTCGCTATAACCCCTCGCGCGTGTTTCTTCCCCTTTGCGTGCATGTCTGTCCGTCTGTTTGTGTGTGTGTGCTTGCACATGCACGCGTGCAGGTGTACGAGGCTGCGCCATGCTACAGTGAATGCGGCCAATACGAGTGGCGGATCGAGCCCTGGTCCATTTGTACCATCAGCGCTGTGGACGACATGCCAGCCTGCGGGGAGGGAGTCCAAAGCCGCAAGATCAGGTCAGTGAGCGGCTGGGGCTTGGCGGGACTGCTGCCTGGCGCTGCATCACAAGTTCACTGCCAACGTTCCTTTAGATGGCCCCTCGCACCGGGGCTGACACGTGCAATGCCATGGGGGGAAAATAGTACAAAAAAAACTACTGCTTTCCCCATGAGTTGTTGGATGTGTTTTCGCGGTACTTTTTTTTGCGCCGTAAACCGCCACAGAGGAGGAGAGCGGCGAAGTTGACCTTTTCTTCAGGCAGCATTTTCAGGTGTTGGAATTGGATTCTGCACCAAAGGAAATTGGTTTAATTGTTTGAGTCGCAACTTAATTGGTCTAACACTTAAGCCTGAAGGTGTTAGTCTCAGCCACAGATCCAAAACTGGTACCAACCAACTACGCAGAGGCTGAAAAATGGAACAGATACAAATGAAAATGCATGTAGTTTTTAGCCTGTGTTACAAACTTTTAATCAAAAAGTATACGATGTATAAATGAGTTTACCACTCTTTTCCTGTATCCCCTCAGCTCTTCTAAAAGAAGAAAATTCCTCAATCTAAAATCTTGGGAATAATCTAGCGGTTAGCCTCAACGTTATCAGAACTTTGCATTCAAATAATCTAGTTAAGGTAAACTAACGTTTTGCAGGATTGCCTTGATATTCAAGGGAAACAACGAGAGAATACATTTTAACTTGACTCAAAAGTGTGTGTGGAGAGTCATGAAGGAGCCAGCCAGGAGTGCCCCTTAGAGAAGGGTCCCACATGTGTATGTGCTGCTCTGCTAGGTGTGTGAAGCAGGGAACGAGTGGGGAGAACAGTACGTTGGAGGACTCTCTGTGTGATCAGGACGAAATGCCACCCAGAGCGCAGGTCTGCTTTGTGGCCTGCCCGCAGGACTGCGTCATGGCACCCTGGGGACCGTGGAGCAACTGCCCCCCGGTAAGTGGCAATGATCTAGTCGCTTATTGACTCCAGTCGTTCGTTTTTCATCATTACTGTGAAATGGCCGGAGAGCAAATGACCAATACTGATATTGACCAATTGGGCTTTTCAGTTCCCTGACCAAAATGTGAGCAATATTGTTTTAGATCATACTGATTTTCACATTCACAGTTTATTTTAGTGCAAAAGTGAATGGAAAACATTTTGCTGTGCCCTCAGTCCTAAACTACGTAATAAAAGGTTCCCCCCGTGGCTGCTGCCGCATGCTGCTGGTCTTCTCGTCATCTAGCCGTGTTATATGTTTCCTGTAAAACGTAACAGCTCAGTGGGCTGGAACATTGGAGTCAGAGAAAGAGCAGGGTGGGCAAAAAGAGATTACTTACTCGGACTGAGATTTCTCCAAAGACGTTTTGTTTTAATCAATCTTTCAATCTGTGAGTTTAGGCAGCACTCTCAACGTCAGTGAAAAGTTTCGATCTATTGCGTTTGTCAAGGAAATAATGCTGAAACTGTGACACTGTTGTAACGGCTGTTATAAGTAAAATACCAACGACCACCACGGCTGTAAAACAATCACGTCTCACCCTCACCTTTTTGACACGTGCACGACCGGGACACTGCGAGACGCTAACGAGAGATGGAGATCCTGAACAAACACAGCGTATTTCCTGACATATTTGAAGGAAAATCTTGCCAACAGTGTTGGCGAAAGCAGGAATACTGAAATGTGCTAGTCCGTGGTATTTGGTCCATGGCATGTGATTCAAACTGAAGGGAAAGGACAAATTCACCACTTATCAACACCACTTAGCATTTTGGAAAAAATTAGCTAATGTTAGTAATTCGTTTTTTAAATTACAGGCTTTTTCAAATGCTAAATCGCTGGTTTGTTAACAACAGTGACCAGAGTTTAGGGAAAATTTGAGGTTAATGTGAAATTCGAGACACGAATCAACACCTTGATTAGAGATGATGGAGTGATAGAAACAATGAAACGCAGTTCAAAACATGTGCATGATGTTACCCAACGGTCACTCGTAACCTGTGGAAAGTCAGCTCCTTGATTACAAATAGGCAGACATCGTTTATCGAATTTTTGCAAAAGTGATTCAGATCCTGGTTCCAATCCGTCTCTGACCAAAGGCAAACTCAAGCACGCAGGTTGCAGCACACACACACAAACGGGGCACATGACTGATTCATGCGGCTGATTGGTGAGCCTGACACGGAGGCCTCTCGTTAGAGGCCCCGACAGTGATTGAGGAGCACGGCGTGATGCATCCAGAGCAGAGGGACGATCGCAGCTCCGCGCCGGGACCTTTCTCAGTATGGAATCTGACATTTTCCTCTAAATACCACGTTTTCACACATCCTTTGCTTTTATGTTAACAGGTTTGCATTCCTGTGTAGTTGCTTTAGTGCCTCGTGTGCTACCGGTGTCACCCGCCAAATGAGGCCCCCTTACGGCCCCCATGATGCATCGCTCAAATATTTTCACACCCGTCCTTCAACTGCCCTACGTAAAATATTATGCTCTATTAGCTTTAGGTTACTTACAGTTTACCTACTTTGCAGGATTATTTAGACATTATGCTGTAATAAAAAATACAGCATTTATTGCTCATTGAAGGCTGCAGTGTTTATTTGTCATTTTATGTTGAACTCTTCTAAAACAGGTTTCCGGGCTTTTTAGAAGAGGATCTCCATAAAGATTCCGGTCATGGAATTTGCAGTACATTTCACTCTAAAACTTTTTTTTACATAAAATCACAACAACGGAGCAGCAAACTAGTATACTTGGGCTTTTATAGCACTTGGTCATAATCATGATATGTTATCTTATAGCTATGCGATAATACATCACAGTTAAATAATCTGCCATGTTCAAAAAGACAAATGTTTCTTGTTTTCTAGAGCAGTAATGACTTGCTTTGGGAAACAAAATCATTGAGCAAATTAATGGAAAAACTAAAACTAATCGCGGAATGCTAGATGGCTTTGTTTATCATTCTAAGCCCACTATGACACTTGGCACAACACTCGGGTTTACGCAGCACGATAATCATTTCACACTAAGTATATGCATGTATGAAAGAAGGGTTAGGATGATCTGCTTTATTCGGAAAAAGGGACAGAATTGCATTCATTCAAATTGGATCAAGCAGCAATGTCTTGAAATATAGATTCTGGGTGGCTTGTAATTCCCATACGCGCTCTTCATTACAGAGAAGCTGAATGTGGGTCTAGACAGTGTGGAAAGGAGATGCGTGATGGATTATTTATCATTTCTTTCGGGGGGGGTTTCTAGCCATCAAATGTAATGTAGCTTTTGCTAAGTCAGGAAAACGTTCCAACAGAATATCCTCCCTCCAAAGGTTTTAAAAGTATAACACGTATTTTTCTTCTCTTTTCTTCTCTTTTTTTAGTATGTTAGTAGGAAGTGTGTTATATTTCCTTTTCTGATTTTATTTTACATTAATAATAATGAGAATGACAAGACATACCCAGATGCATTCCTTTCTTCCTCCCACATTTCAAAGGGCAAGTTCCCTGCGCAAGAATGTTGTCCAACTATTGCTCAAAAGAATAACTATATAACTATAAAATATGAAACCTACAGCAGTAAATCTAGAATTCCTGCTGCACAAAGTTACAAAATTTTTCCCCAAATCAGTAGACTGATAACTTTTACTTTAGGTTGCCTGTATGATGACTACGATGAAGAATTAAAACCCTTCACTACAACCCGCTTCATCCTGTCTCTGAAAAATAAACCAGTGCTCTTAACAACATCATGTTTGTGGTGATGCTGTGTATGTTGGTGTGCAGCAATGCCACAATGGAACGGCGCGCAACAGGAGCCGGCGCGTCCTGCGCCTCCCCTCCTCCTCGGGGAGCGCCGCCTGCCCAGAGCGGGTCCAGTCGGAGGCGTGTGTCCTCAACAGCACCTGCTTCTCCTACCAGCACGGCGTCTCAGGTAACTCCATCCGGACTTCAGGCCCGGGATGACAGTGCATGAGGGGTGAACGGCCGCAGACGTTTTATTCCCAATGCAAATGGACTGACACTGAGCGTAACGCGCCAACGTGGTACGATTGACGGTGTGACCCGTGTTGTGACCCGATGTGTTGCCCTGTCTATGTGCGTTGCAGACTGGAGCACGTGCCGGCTCAGCGAAAGTGCCGCCTGTGGGCAGGGTTCACGGTCCCGCCTCGTGGACTGTGTTCGTAACGACGGAAAGATAGTGGATTTGCGGAAGTGCGAGCAGGTAACGGCTGTGTAGTCCGGCCTTAAGTTCATGTCCCGCTGTCATGATATGAGAAGCCTCCTGTTTGTTATTTTCGTGAGGCCATATGTTCGGAAATCTTACGCAACGTCGACAGGGCCTTGAATACTGATGGGAGCAGTTTCCCATTCTGCTTCAGTGAACAGGTTGCAGCACCTTCACATTTCACTAAGCAGTTGGCCAACTTAATTAAATTGCCTTGACTTCATCGCACAAAGATAGATGGAGGTCTTGAATTGCTGCCTCTCCGCTGTCCTGAAACAAACTGCTCCCTCTTTCGTCTTCGAGGGGAAATAATCAGCAATCCCTTCTCACAGCGCGACTCTTGTTCTTCCGCAGCTCGGTCTGCTCAACAAGTGGAAGCTGTCGGAGAGCTGCGTGGTTGACTGTCCTGTCAACTGCATTCTCTCCGAATGGTCGTCGTGGGCGGAATGTTCGCATACCTGTGGTAACCAAGGTAAACCACTCAACTCGCAAGCAACGTGGGCGACCAGCATGACGGACAGACCCGAAGTCGACCGCGTGTGCTGCGCCTCATTATTCCTTCTACTTAGGAATTCACGGAGATTTTAAATTGTGCATGAATACATTTAAATGCATTAAAATATTTACGAGAAAGGCTTTTTATACGGGGGGAAGCAGTCTGCCTGAGTTTCTTTTGTGCCTATAGAATTGAAGTTAATGAGAAAGAGTGGCCAAACTTTTGACTTGTACAGTGGATATATCCATATAAATAAATAATGCTATGCTGTGTAAAGCACGGTTAATTAATTGACATGAGGTTGCATTTGGAGAACAGCAGGTTGAGATTAAACTAATTTTATACAGTTCACCTTCATGGTCATAAATGATTCAGTGTTCCTAAATAAAATATGCATCCTTTCTGTATGATTTTGGAAATGCTTGCTAATTACAAACCTGTGGCCAGCTCCTCGTCACTTTGACAAACCCATGTTATCACCTCATGCAATATACAGAAGTTAATGATATCACCTTAACGCGTGCTGTGTTTTTCAGGGCCGCCAATGCCAACCGCCCAAACGCGTGTTATTATCTCAATTAGAAAGACTCAAAAGCAGTTTCGTTCATTTGAATGTGGCGTCAAGTGTCTGTCTACCCCCGATCACCTCCTCATTACAATAAGCCTGCACCTTCAACGGTGGATTTGAACTCGAGACCCTCCGCCTGTCTCTCTCTCTCTCTCATATCTCTGTTTCTGTTGCTGTAACTCTGTTTCTGCCTCTCTCTCTCTCTCTCTGTTCATTCTCGCACATTGTGAATCACATCTGTCAGCCTTGATGAGGGATTTGCGTCGTATCTGTGTCAGGCGACGGCAGGGATCGTGTTCTGTCGGCATCTCGCGGGAGCGCTAATGTTTCGGTTTGATTTTGTGGAGACGGCTGAGCTGAATGTCCTTTTTCCGCCGCGGGGTCCCCTCTGCATCACACAAACACACACAGGTTCTGTTTTAAGTGGATGGCTGATGGAGGCCGTGCCTCCGCGGAGCCTCAAGGGACCCGGACATTGAGCTGTTACAGAATAACCAACTCACCCCGTAGTCAGACCTTTCAACTGTTGCCGCTGAGCAAACTTTCCCTCACACTCGACTGTGAGTGGCTCTCTTCAGCCAAACACTTGCGATCGGAGAATTCAGTCGCATGGTGATGCAGATTTATGCCACTCAGTCCTGGTGTATCGCGAGGAGAATATTTCATCTCTCACTTCTCTTCAGCCTTGGTGGTGTAATGATGTACCACTTTTTTTTCTTTTTACATTTTACATCTCTGAGCTTGTCATGTTGGAAGCAGCTCTGGGTGTCCTGCATTTGAAAAGAGTATTCAGCTTGAATATCACAGCTCGGCACTCGCAGTTTGAGAACACCACTTTGTTCCCGACAGAGTTCTGCCTCGGTGTTTTCCGCAGGTCAGTCCGTGCGCAGCCGCAGGATCCTGCACGAGGCTCACGAGGAGGGTCGGCCGTGTCCCCTTCAGCTCACCCAGACCAAGCCGTGTCCCATAAGGCCTTGCTACACGTGGCTGCTCAGCGACTGGTCGCCGTGCACTGTGGAGGTAGGACGAGCACGTCATACAAACGTAATGGGAGTATCTGGGATATTTTTAGTCACGTTAATAGTGCGTAATATAAATGACCCAGAATCCACTGCCTCTTAAATTGTTGTCTCTATAGTAGAGCGTACACATGGCTATAGACAGGTCCTCCAGCCTAATTGTATTTTAACTGTAAGTAATTGTTGTATGAAGAGTAATTGTGTTTGTTAGACTGAAATTTTTGGTTATTATTATTCAAACTTTGTTTCCAAGAAAATTCCACAGGGCACCTTAAATCTCTTTAATGATGTTTATAAAAGGGTTGTTATGTGTACAGGCATTAATACCTTGAGAACGCTTTGACCCCACGGTTGAAGACACTGCTCATATCTTGAAATTGGAATAACGGCACCATTAAGTCAAATAGCCGATAATCAATTGATGTGAACAAGAGGTGCAACACCTATAGTTTGGTTTAATCCAATCTATCGACTTTCCTCCTACCCAAACAATTCTGGAGGAAACAAAACCTTTTGGTTACCTTACAAAAAGAGCGCATTTCGTGCAGGGTGCAGAGTGTGGCGAGGGGCTTCGGAGGAGGAGCCTTTCATGCGTCGTGCACACGGGCAGCTGGCCCGAGTCTCCTCCTCAGCCAGTGGACAAGGAGCTTTGTGGAGACAAACTGCGGCAGCAGATCCAGCAGGAGATGGAGCAGCCGTGCTTCGTCCCGTGTCCAGGTAACACTAATGCATCGATGTTCATTGTTGTTATCAATTACATGAAACACGCCATGTATGATTATTTTCTAATCTAGTTGAATAAAGCAAAACGTCTAAATTTTGGATTCGAGTAACAACAGTTACATGGCCTCGGTCATCCGCTCCATTAATCTTTTCCTGGAATCTGCCATTGCACCGTCCTCCCAACAAAGTGCTCGACATTTCCGGCTGATGAATAATTATCGCAACATCAATAAAAGTCATAGATTAACCAATGACCCTCTTACCTCTACATCATGTGGTCAAACACGTCCAATAACAAATTCAACACGCTGTCCTCAAAAGTTCACATGTGTGGTTAATAGAGTAGCTGAGCTGCCAAAGACAATAGTCAACAACTAAACGAGAGACAGATTTGACTCCACATAATGTAGTAACCTAGAAATAGAATACGAGTGGAATAACTTCCTGTGCTACCCGAAGCAATTAACAGCTGAGGAGTCTTGCATGTAGAGAGCTAGGGGGGGCGACGCAAGGAATAACTTTACAACATTAATAATGCAACAACAACAGAATTAAACTAGTTTTTGAATCAGAACATCCTTGATAACATTCACAGTTTATTTAGTGCTGTATTGAAAGAAGTTGACAAAACTGAATAAGGTTTATTCTAGTTAGCTTCAATTAACAAGGCGATCCCTACAGGTGATTCGTTAACATTCCCTCAGAAGTACACATTAAACCACACGTATATTGTTTGCAGTAGGTGAAAAAAATGGCAATATACCGCCATCCATCATTCATTCTAATGGTAAATTGAGAGTTAATCCACTTTACTGGTTCCACTATATTACAATTTAGACCAAAACAGAGCGTAGACAATCTTATTGTTATTAAAATAACTACATCAACAAGCAGCCAGCAGATCGTGGTCAACTTGAATGACATTATAAGATACCGGCTGATGTTTGCTTTCTTTTATTTATATGGGGGCCGCAGTGTAGATGGAGCTTTATCCGCCAGACAGCAATGACCTGCTTCATTTGTCACCGTCTGCCTTCCACACTGAAAATCTGTAACTGTAGCTTTATTGTCCCCGGGCACAATTAGTTAGCAGGCAGGCCGGTTACACGAGCACTGGAATATAGCCGAGTCTTTTTGTTTTAATACATACAAAGGCGACTCTGATCTCCTTTTGTAATGTTTTTAGCCGAGCTAAAGATCTTGTTTGCGTATGTGCAACGGGACCCTCTTGCCGCGCTTGCCTCTGCTCATCTGTCACTCGCTCGCTCTCTCCTCTGATCCTCGCCTCGATTCATCACTCCACTCGCCTCGGCTCAGGAACAGAAGTGTTTGATGGCCGGAGCAGACGTGTCAGTCTTTCTGTCTGTCTGTCCGTGTGTGGGTGTGTATTTGCGTGTCCGTGTGTGGAAGGCTCCTCAACATGTATGTGATGTGCAGCGCGTGTGTGCCTGCGTCGTCTCGCTGTTTTCTGTATCCAGCAGCTTTCAGCCACAGCAGGTTCCCACAAGCGCAGCGGCACGACTGATGGAGTCGATCCATTTAATGATGAAAGATAATGATATGCGTCGATCCACAGACTCAAAGGGCTCCTCTGGCTTGGGGAGGGGCTGGTGACAGCTTGGGATATCATCAGTACGAGCTGACCCTATCGACGATACCGTGAGATATTAATGCTTGACCTTCAGGGAAACAAGTATTTTATTTCTCATTTTATAGACGTGGACCACCGTTGTGCCACTGAAAACATTTCCCAAATCAAATGTGCTTCGCTTCTCCTGTGAGGGGACAAGTTTCAGTATTGGGGGTTGCCTTTGCAGTGCGGCTCGGGTTTGCCGCCTGTATTTTATAATTCATAACGCTGGTGTGTCTATTACTTCTGAATACCCACTGGGCCGTCTGAGTAATTCGTTTTTGTGCATTTGGTACATTATCTGCCTCGGCTGTGTGCAGAAGTTGTTTCCCGATCTTTTTTGAATGTTCCTGGAGCCGGCAGGGGAGCCATAAAGTATTCCTGGAGATAGTGTTGGCAAGCGGAACACAGAATCCCCCACAAGCATCAGAAAAGACGCCCATTATTGATTAAGTAGTGCCTAGCGGTGATGCTTCCCCGTCCCTCTGTGCCCTCAGGAGACTGCCATTTGACCGTGTGGTCGTCTTGGAGCTCCTGCCAGTTGACCTGCGTGGAGGGCCGCAGTTTTGAGACCACCGGCCGTCAGGCTCGCTCCAGAGCTGTGATCATCCAGGTCATGGAAAACCAGGGCAGCTGCCCGCATCAGGTGTTTGAGACGCAGCCCTGCAAAGGTACTGAGAAAAAAACGTGCACACATGGAATCGGTTGTCTTAAAATAAAATCACATTAAAAAAACACATTAATCAATGCTGTTTACTACTGCTACTCCATGTGAGCACGACGGATGGAGTGACCTCCACCCCTCTGCTTTTCCCCTCAGCTCCATGGAGCTTTATAGCATATTATAACAGTTTTTAGTGAATAACCCCTGATAAACCCACCAGGTGCTAACTGCTCGGCACCAAACAGCGGACACACAAAGGGAGTGACGAGCTGGCAACATATCGGAGGACCTTTTAGCTAAAGTGCCAAAGATTTCCCTCCAGAGCGGTTGGGAGTCCACTCACAGGTCAAAGAGAGGGAAGAAACTTAGAATGAATGCTAATGCTGCTCCATGAGCCTGAAGGGCAAATAAGGAAAAAAAATAGTTTGCAAACATATTTGTTGGGTCTTATAACTAAAAATCAATACCACACCCAGCTGTGATGTAACGTCATTGTGACCCCGAGGTCAAACCAGGTTTTACATCAGTTCAGTTGAGCTTCATTCTCTCTATAAAAGGACACCCAATTAGTGGATGAACCTCACATATTCAAGAACAAAAGCCTTTGATCCTGGAGATGGATCAATGCAGTGGAAATAGTCTCTTAATAAACGTTTAATTTGCTGCAGACGTACTCATGGGGGCAACAGAAAGCTATATTTCATCTTGTTCACCTTGTAACTAAACTCCAACGTTGATCAGTGTGCATGGGTGCGCTTTTACCTTGGGAATTCACGGGTGTAGTATTTGCACCATAAAACAGCCCACATGCTGCGATAGCTCTCAACAGAGATTATGGATTAAGGGCTCGATTTGTTTTTTATTGACATTGAGCCTGTATGCAGGTAAAAGTAGAACAGATATTGCTTAGTTATTTCCAAATGGCAAGCCCTCCATGGCAGCAATATAACAACGTGGTTATTATTAAATCCAGGTCACAAATTAGGCCTTAAAAATGAGTCATTTAATTGGCTGTCATTGGCTGTATTTCAACCTGGCTGCTACACCAGATATACAATTTAAATGAAAGACGGAGGAATCCAATAACTGATCAACCCAAGATAGATTTTTTTTTTTCAATCTCTACTGCAGTTGTACGTTTTTACCTTTACCGTTTTTTGTTTTTTTTTAATGATCATATCTTTTTTTCTTAAGTAATCTTGCTGCATCAGCTCATAAGCCGCCACAAACCGCTAACGAGCACTGTCTGTGCCCCTCTGGCATTGCTACAGGGGGGAAATGCCACAGTTACGAGTGGAGGACGGGGGGATGGAGCAACAACGAGAGATTGGTGTGGTGTCAGCGCTCAGATGGTGTCAATGTCACAGGTGGGTAAATGCCGTGTCTCCTGGCCACCCTGAAGAGACGCGGAGCAGAGGAACTTACACAGGCATTCCCTGTGGAAATATGCGTATCAATGCACATCCGGCCTAATGCAGACTGTAGCTGAAAGTGTCCCAGTTCTTTATTTGTTGCCCTGCACTGAACCGGAACAGCAAAGATCTGCACAGGGTCTCGCATTTCTCTGCAGCGACAATCGCATGCAACGTGCATTACAAAATCCGATCGTTTTATTCCTGAAAGGAGAATTCGTAAGCGTTGCCATGACAGTCGGAGAATATTCTCTCATTTATCTCCGCCCTGTCACATCGGTAAGTTTGTCACAGGTGGAGGGGGTTTAAAAAAAATCCTTTGGGATGGATTGAACTGAAAAGACTTGTGCAAAAAAAGTATAGATCTCTCTTCACAGTGTCATTATTGTTTATGTGGGTTACACCCTGCAATGTGTGTTCGCCCCCTACATGAAGATCAAATGACGCACACACACAATGTTTAGCGTTCTTGTTGAATTTAAGACGTTATCCGACCCACCCATATGCAGCACATACTCCATTGATTCCTTAAGTAATCAATAAGCCGGACTCTTGGCTGCGAGGCTTTTCCATCCGTATACAAATAATCATGCATTTGTATTTGTGGGAAGAAGGGCAGGCACGGAGAAACAGAACAAAGGTAGTAGCGCTGCGGGAACGAAAGCTTCAGCCGAGCTTGATGTGCTGTAAATAGTAGACGAATGTGATCTTATCGCTGTGAGGAAGTGTTCCTGGCGAATGTGAGCCCAGAGGGAGTAATCTTCCTCCGCAGAGAAGGCGAGATCCCAAGGCACTACTCTTGGATTTTTGGACACGTAATTTTCCGTGTGGGAATTACACTGTTCACAAATTGATCACAGAGCCTGATAGGCAACCGAGCCCATTAATCAGCTGCGACAGTACATTAATTTAGTGATCGATGACCGAATGAACACAAACACCAACCTGTTGTCTTCCTTCAGGGGGGTGTTTTCCGCAGAAAAGGCCGACCCCAGTCAGACACTGCCATCCTCTGTGCAGCAAACCCTTCTCGCACTGCACGCCGGTAAGATCATCTCACTTTCATCAGGCAGCTGCGATCTGTGCAATTTGCCTTTTCCTGCTGCTACTTGATTTCGGGTAAATGGATTCTGAAAAATGACATTTTTAATTATCAAGAACAGGCATTTAAATAAAACCTTTAATAGCAATGAACGTGTCTCTTGGGGATTACACAGATTGGGGGGAAATTGCTCTCAAACAGCTATGGAGAAAAAAAAGAAAGAATAACCTGGTGCTTTAAGTTTTACTGCCCCTCAGAGTACCCTCGACGTAACTGCACTCCCAAAAAAACAATGACTTAATAAGCGGTTAATGTTTTCTATTTAAGCATTTAGATGCAGATTACATTGCAAATTAAAGCCCATAATAAGAATGCTGGGAGCGATTGTATTGCATTGCGTTCCAGTATGTGCATGTGTGTTTGTTTTTGGCCTCATTTGCATCTTGTTCTGTTTTTAAACCAGAGTGGACCTGGTTTCTAAGCAGCGCGTTTCCCAGTAATGGGAAAGTAACGATTGCAGTCGTCTTGGTCTTGTGTATCAGCTTCAAATGACGCCTCCCCCCTTCCTCCCTCTCCCCCAATGCAGAGCGGGGTGTGCGGGTGTGAGAAGGGTTACACCGAAGTTATGACCACGCACGGCTTCCTGGACTACTGCACCAGAACCCCGGGGGTGGACAACAACAAGAAAGCTGATGTGAAAACCAACTCTGGGAGATTAAAGCCGGGGCCGTCTCAGGCCCGGGACCTCTTCAGCGAGTGGACCTTAAGACCTGTCGGCCCAGGTACTGAAATGGAAATCATCTTTACAGCTGGACCGGCGTGACGCGGATCATCCCTGCCTTTGAACCTGCCTTTGTAGCTGAGGGATCACTGGCCAGGGATGTTGAATCCATTGAAGACCGACGTCTTTGCTTTGGCTTTTCATTATATGCTGTAAAGCAAAGAAAAAAAGGAAGAAAAAAAAAACTCTGTTGACCATGAAGTTGTCGACGAATTCAACTCGCTCCTCTGCAGTATGTTTTTAAAAGAGAAGAGAACGACGCAGTGTTCTAAAATGTGATGTAGATGTAAATGTGTTTAAAACTTTGCACTGAAACTGCTTTCTGATTGCACAGACGGACGGGTAAAGCTGTGGGTTTACGCCGTGACTGCCGTTGGATTCATCTTAATACTCTTCGTTATTGCATTTTCATTCCTGGTTTGGTAGGTTCCGTATTTACGTCTTCCCCACTATCCACAATCCCAAGAGAAAAAAAAAAAGGAAAAAAGCCCCATTGTGGGCCTCACACATTGTCAGAGAGAAAGAGACTGAACGCTGAGAGGAAAAGCTAATTCTTAACCATCTGCCCCCCCTCCCTTCCCTCCAAAAAAAATAACCCTGTCAAGTATGAGTTATACTCCTCACAGTGTTTTGTCTGCTGCGTGCAGCTGCTATCAGATAATGGAATTCTTTGTAAAGCCTGCAATCGGGTCGGGCTGCGAAGCCAGACACACTGTCATCTTTTTCTCTCTTGCCTGTTGTTTATTTGCAGCAAGCCCTTCCAATCCACCAAGACGTCCCCCCCCACGCAGAAGCCCCTGACTCTGGCCTACGACGGTGACAACGACATGTAACCGGGGGCGGCCGCGCTGGACCTCGGGCGGACACCTCGAAGACCTTCCGTTTGTTAGCAAGGACTTCTTTCACGTACAGCCGACGGTTGGGCCCGTTTGGTCCTGGTCGATCGAGCGTGCAAACTTTGATGCCGAGGGGGATGCAGCGGACACAGAACGCCGGAATGCATTGGATTTGCCAGTCAACTCCCCTCGGTGAAGAAGAGGAACCGAGGCCTAACGCGGTGCAAATGGAAACGAAAGGCCTCGAGGCGAGAGTAATGAATGGACCTCGAGTTTCTTTTAGGCACCGTTAGCAAACCAACAGGTCACGAGGACTCCTCTAAAAGGTCAAAGTGGGTTTGTTCTGTGTCAAGAATCGGAGGAACCGCCTGATTATTTTGTCTGGTATTTGTGTCGTGAGGGAGACAAACCGTCTTGGGTTAGCAGTCACTCTTGATGTTCAAAGACAAAAGAATAGAACATTTGGCATTTTGACTTTGTCTCATCAGTGCTGGATCTTTGTGAGAAGAAATGTCACACGCCTTTTGGCTGAACAGCCTTTTTTTGAATTTCTGAGAATAAAACAAATGCTCTATGCACTACGTTAGTGCTGATTCACTTTGTTTTTTTTCCTTTCAAATGACTTTTCTAGTGTTTCAACTGTAATGCAAGTCGTTGCTGTCAGATTTCGGTCGATGATGCCATATGTTGTCTTTATGTGGAATCCAAAAGCAGGTTGCCCTTGATTTTAACGATGCAACGAGTAATTTCGTCTCCCTTATTCTCATCAAATTTCACTGCTATGGAAAAAAAATTCCAAATTTTTTGTCGATGGCGGAGTGCTTTGAAGTCAAACGCGGTCGAGAATGAACTGGTGTCTCGCGGCCAAACCGCTGTGTCAGCGCTAAAGAGTCTGGCTCCACACGTTACCAATCCAACACGCGGGGAGGGAAGCAGGCAATCACCACTGCCTCGGGTTGAAGCGCGGGAAACGGCGACGGCGCCCTCGCGGAGGCGATAACGGAAGGCGAGGAGGAACATACACAGACCTGTGATGCAAATTGTTCAATACCAGCATGAAAAAAAGATCATTACCTCATGCACCCTGATCACCAAAGCAGATACAACAATAGAGATTACGAATAGTCCACTAGATCACACAATGTATTTTTAGAGTAAATAGGCTTCACTTATTTGAAAAGGATGTCACACGTTATTTTTTTTATCACGATTTGTTGCATGCAAACACAAAATCAGTAACTAGTATTTGAAAGCTGCATTTATTTTGTTGACACTGCAAAGGACAGGGCTCAAAACATGACAACACAGAGCAAATACCAAATATTTGTGAGCACACATTAGTTAAATAGATTAGATCGCATTTCTGTTTCTTACGCACAAAAGTAAAAACCTTTCTTCTATTCGGTACCGAAATTGTTTCAGATTTCCACTTACAGTTTCAAGGAATCCATGTTGTCTAGAAAAGCTTCTTTGTCGACCACAACCGCACACATTTAGTATGATTTAAACATTACTCATTACGTTATTCATATGACCCGGTGGAGAATTACGTTTTCTATTCCTGCCTCCACAAACTGAACATTTGGTCTCGTTATCAACCTCCTTCTGAATGTATTTTACCCGTGACTCTATAATCTATTTAGTTGCGCAAATATTGTTGCTACCTGTTGTAACAATTGTATTTACACAGCCGATTGTATCTAAGCATGCTTGATCCATTTTGGCAGAAAGTGCTCCAAGATTCTGAGTTAGTTTCTTTTTCAAATATTTGGCCAACAAAGGGGAAATGCAGTACGGTAAATGTTAATTCAACGCAAAATCTAAGTGTGAGATCATTTCCAGATGACAGGTTCAACTCACAAACAAGTAACATGTTCACAATAAAACAAAAAAACAGCCAACTTCTGACCTGACTCTATTGGGTTATATCCAAGAAGATCCAAGGGTATGTTCACTCATCGTTTGCGGGACCATGCTATTTGTGTTACTATTGTGTGTACTTGGGGAGCTGGATGAAAATGCAAATAAATTGTGGAACCTTGTGAAAATGAAACGCTTTCCTCTTTGTCGTACATTTCAGGGTCCAGACTACGTGAAAGCTTTTTCCTTGTGTGATCTTCTTCAGGCTCAAAGGCAGCGTCCAGAATATACAAGCAGGTAGATTCCCTCTCTGGTAATGCCAGATTTATCACAGGTTAGTGAGGGAAAAAGTGTTCTAAGACTCTTGTCTCATCACATTCATTTATTTAAGAGTGTCACTTTTGCTTAAGAAAGGGTTGAATTCAGTCGCTCGCAGCGGCGAAGGCGTGAGCGGCTCTTGTCATGTCCAATTCATGTCATCTTCGTAGCTCTCGAGACACATTCGCAAATTTCAGTGAAGACAATCAAACAGTGACTAGTTTTAATCAAGATTCATCTATATTTCGACAGCCAGATTATATAATAAAGCGCAGTCGGACTGTCGGAGAGCTTAATGAATATTTAGCAGAAGTACTTAACCTTTTAAAATGATGAGTTTGTCGTAATTTATTACTGATTTCAGCACACTGATGAGTTTCTTCTCATATGCATCACTGTTTTCAAGTAGTTTTTTCTTCTCAAACTAAATCAATTACTGTATTTGGCAAATTAAAATAAACAGGATTTTTAGATTACGTTCTGATTATCAATGTTATTGGAATTTTACCTTCATTCAACATACATTCTTGATTAAAAAGGAAGGAGAAGAGGAGGAGATAGGAAACCACTTTCTGAAGACCTCTGGACCAGCATGACTCCATATCTTTATGATACTAACATCAAGGTGTAATGGCCGAAGGGGTGTAAATGTCCACATTAATCATTATCTGGAATGTCTGCGATATGAACAAGCAAATGCATTTGCTTTTCACTTCAATAAATTACCATAAGTGAAACATTTGTTAGGATTTCAGAAAGTCGGTTGAGTTTTTTTTTACGATTTCTTCTTGATTCATTTGTTTCTATTCTCATTAACCTGCGACGAAACAAAAAGATGGTTGGTAGTGTTGGTAGGAAGAAATATCTCAGCAACTACCTTATGGAAGCTCATGGAACCTTGTGCAGACATTATTACCTCATTGATCCCCAGGATGGATCCCACGTGGATGAAGTTGACATTTGTGGTTTCGTGACAAATGTCTATGCAGCTGTTGGATGGGTTTGACCCACCGGGTAATTCAGTTGAAGCATTTATGTTCAGGATGAATTGTAGTAACTTTGCTGGTCCCTTACCTGGTCACATGGCGCCGACATCAGATGTTCTATTGATCCACAGGGCCTTTGGTCCACTAACAAATGCAAAGTCCCCTAATAAGATCCCCATTAGCCTTAGCTGTCCCCTCCGTTTGATCAAATGCATGCTAAGACATTGCTAAGATGGTTAACATGGCAACCATTATAACTGCTATTCATCAGCAAGTTAGCATTGTCATAATTAGCGTGCTGATGCTATAATTAAAACACTATCGTTATTATGGATAATAGATCATTTTCAGTCTACTGGCCCACCTTTTTTCATATTGAAATGAATCATGTATTTAAAAAGCTGGACTGCAATGAGGTTGATAAGAAGGAGCATACAAGGATGCTGAAGTTCAACCTGGTTTGACCTTTGAGCCAAATAATTGAGGACAAATTAACAATATTAGTTCCCTATTTATTGTCCTTGTTCTGGCCTGTTATATAAAAGCTACATGTTAAACATTCTCAAAAAGACTAGAAAAGAAAGACGACAAAATAAAGCACACCTAAGGTTAAATTCACTTGTCTCAAGAAAATATGCTTCAATGATCAAATTGGTGATTCATAATGTGTAAACCTCAGATAAGCAGAGCTGCTCATTGTTTTAATCCCAATGTGATCATCCTGTGTTTGTCTTGTATACAATATATCTCATATGTCTTTCTCGTTTTAAGATTATAGAGCATAATCAACATGCCATACTGCATATTTCTGCTGATAAGAGCACAATAAAGTTTCTTCAACTTTGAAAAGATCTGTCCAGGCATGTGGAAATAAATCCCAAAGTCACATTACCAGAGCTACATTGTCTTTGTTTGGTGATGCAGAGATGCAGGTTTAGAAAAAATTTTTTTTTAGAAAAAACTATCACTGACAATCCTGATCAGCTTTTTGGAAGCTTATTGTAAACCAGCCTACATTATAGTGCAAGCAAGGTATCACATCACTATGCATGCAAATATGCATTGATATTGATATAATAGTTATTATTTGATACCAAATGCCGAATTAGTTTCCCAGTGAAAGCATGTATGCTAATCCCTATGATATTGACACACGTACAATGCAAATACACACCAAGCCTTTGCCATCTGTCAAAATTGCAGACACACTCCCCACTTGGTCGTCACTTATTTACTTACAGATAACGTAATCTCCCCCATTCATTATTTTTCTGCAATCTAGTGTTCGGCTACTTTTGAAATGTGCAAACGCAGCAGACGTTTTCTCAAACGCATAAACTCTTATTTCATCTTCTACAACCCACCTTGATCCCGCCTCTGTCGTATTACTGGTGTTTTATTTCTGTGAGGCGCCGCTACGCGCGCTCCCTTCCGGGAGGGCAGCGGGAGCAGTGCGGGAGTGGGAGGGTTCGATTCCAGCCTGCAGACCTCTCCGGACTCTCCGCCCTGCACGCACGCACGCACGCACGCACGCCACGCATCACACGTAAGTGAACCACGTCGCGTTTCGACTCGGATCTGCGCAGCTGAATCACCGCCGCTTCGTGAAACGAGTCTGAGAAACCAAAGTGAGAATCGGTCCGATCGCCAGTCGCACGCGCGCATCGAGGCGCGTGCGATCGGCGTGGGGAACGTTGTTGATCCGATACGGAGGAACGGGAAGCCGTGCCACGATAGCCTCGGTCCGCCCCCCGCGACTCGTGGCGCAGTTCAACCCCGCGCCGAATATAAGGGCGGTAAACGGCGGAGGGAAGTTCGTTTCAAAGAGGGAGGTCACCAACAAGTTCAACACTGTGGAACGTGAATATTTTCCAATGTAATACAATTGTGTAATAAGGATCCTTGTTTACAAGAAAACTACAAAAATGTAAAATGACATGTATTATTTATTCTCCAAACGAGGCTAGACCATGTGGGAATAAATAATTAAATGACTTAAATTTGGTGGAATATGAGCAGGCCTTTGATGGCATAACTGACAGGCGTCACAGTACCAACATCTCAACAACAACTACAGTTTCTGACCCTGCGTGCTGATGGAAAGATGTCATGATGTATTTACTCTTTTCTTTTTTTGCCAGTTCATTTGCCATGGCATCTTCACTGAGGAGTCTGGTTAATGACGATAGCAGATACCAGAAATGCTTCCAGCTTTTTCTGGAGCGCTCGTCTGAGCATCAGAGCATGAGGGACTTCATCCACAACGTGCTGCCAGATATACTGGGCAGGTAATCCGCAACACACACACACACAGGTTTTATGAGTGAGCGCACATCACCGTTGACAGTATGATGGATCTAAAATCCAATATAATGCGATTCAATAAGATATGTTAGAATAGAATAGGAAATAATTGACTGAACACTATCTGGAAATATATATTGGTATTGACTTATATGGTTGCTGATACAAGGCAAGACCGTGTAATACAACACAAATATATACAAAAATACAGGTTGGAGGTTATAATCAACGCATAGTTTGACCAAAATAAAGCACTGGAAATACTTATTTAAATCTTTGAAATGTTTAGTTTAGTATATTTTAAAAACATCCATATCACAAATGTGTCTTTGTGGGGGTTTGTGTTTCTGCGTCCGGGAGAAATAAACTGATTATGTTGTTACTAGATTACCAGAAGTGTCAAACGCTGGTATTGACCTAAACTATAACTTGTTTTGCTGCTGATAAACTAGATTACCACGAGCATAGAGATGGTTTTAAGCCTTCGGTGGAAACGTTGCAAAGATTGCAGCAGAGACTCCAGTGAGAGTTAATGAACAGAGAGAAAGAAGGCAGACACAAGAAAAAGAAATTCACAACTGTATAACCCCTCGAATGTGATTAACAGGACAGAGACAACGGCTGATTAACACTTAGGAACTTCCTCATTCTCCATCTCTCATTATTTCTAAACACAAGCTTTACATATGTGTTGTTATGTGATGTCGTCCCTGAGCTGAAAGTACGTTTCTGCTCATTAGACATTAGCCGGGAGGCATTTATCCATCCAAAGCCTTCAATTTCTTTTTTTGGATTTAATCAGAAAAATAACGAGTATATATTCACCTCAACTAATTTGGGATGAAAGTAAAGTGATAAAATACAGGTTGAGGAATTGAAGCATAATAATAAATAATTAAATAATAATAAATAATTAAGCAGCATCATTTGTTGAAATCGTCAAACGGTGTCTCCTAATCACCTGGAAGCCAAACCCAAAAGACAATATGAGAATATTTTGTACGTCGTTGCATTGCACACGTTGCACCCTCTGTCTGTTGCTACGTCTACGGCCATGCGGTACGAGGTGTGTGCATTGGAATCACGCTAATGGAAATCCTTCTTCTCGCACACCTTCCTATGTTAAGATTTAGCCGACTGAGGCCAAAGCCGCGTTGCAGAGAACTCCACCCTCTGACTTTCTCAGAAGCACACTGAAGCACATTGGGGAGAAATCGGGGGAGTTAGACTCCACCAGTCAATTTGAATGTGTGAGAGTCTGCTTGAAAAGTCAGACGATGATTGACAGAACGCGCCATGATGGCAACAATCCAAGCAGCTGAACGGGAGAAGTTTCAGACGCTGTATCAGAACTTTCTCACACTTTCGGGGGCAAATTGCCAGTTACAAACCCTAAAATGTGACCCACATTCAGCAGGTTGGAGGATGTGAATTTCCAGACTGTTCTGAAGACTCAAAGTGCTTTTCTGCCCCCCCCTCCCCACCCCTCCCACCCTCCCTCTCAGCATTGGAAACGGAAAGTCCCACCTAAATATCATTGGAGTTGGAAGTGGAGCAGGTAAGTACACGCGGCATTGGACACTTTCACTGTTGGACTTATCTTATGTTCTCCTTGGCTGCTGCACACTAAACGGCTGAGTGACTTCTGAGGCAGACGGCACAACTGAGGTGGGTGTCGAGGATTCGGCCCGCTGTAGCCTCCGATTGGTCTGCTGTCGTGTTTAATAAAACCTTCACCCTTGTTATTGCCGCCGAGTTTGTATGCATCCGTGCACAGTGCGATTGTTGTTTACCCTTAGTGGTGTGAAGAGCAACCTCCCTGGTCTGGTTTTTCGGTGCCCTTTTGTTCCTGGGGACACGCACACTCCCCAGGAACCAACCGACCACAGTATGTTCCCATGCATGATATTACCCTTCACTTGTGTCACTGCCCATTCTTCTAATTGAGCCGAGCTGTCATATCAGTATCACAATGAGGCCAGGGCACTGAGTCTCCAATGGGTTGTAGAATCCATTAGAATGACTACTCCCCGGAAAGGTGATATTCAATCTAATCCGAAAAGTTCACTGCCTTTCCAGCTCAGCGTCTTTGCTTGGATTAACTCCTGTATTTGACAACTTGTCGGCTCCAATGAAAACTCAAACAAAAACACCCGCCTCATGGTTAAATTACATTGAAATACATAACATAGTCACCTCTAGTTTAGTTTTTTGATATTACGCAAAAAACAAAATGTGAAAGTATCCTGCAAAATGGACAAACGCTACTCGCTATTCACTTTTTTTAGTCTGCAGCGCTGTTTAATTTGAGATGTGGGTTGACTGAACACACGACCATTTCCACCAAGGAGACTATGCAATTTGTTGTGTGTGTGTCTGTGTGCACGCACCAGTGCACCCATGCGCGTGTATTTCATTGACAACATATTTCATTCATTCCGTCACTGACTGATAACTCCACACAAACCTTCACCTGTGGACAACGCAGCCTCTGCCAATGAACCAAATGGATGACAATGCAGGAAAGGTAGTTCTCTACTCTACAGATGGTCGGAGTCCTTTGAACAAATCACACAGTGGGACTGAACATTTCTGCAGAGGGAGAGCAGTAACAGTCAACATTGGGCTAGAAGTTAAGCAGTGAACTGCAGCTTCGCCGCACGGAGCTCATACAAACAGACGCGCTGATTAAAATGAGAGATTATCTGCTGAGGGAGTCTGCTACGCTCGTGTGCCGTTGTGGTTTGAATTCATTCAGGGAAACATTGCAGCCGTAAATACCAGCAAATGCACTACATATCGTTTGGGAACCGAGGAGAGAGAAGGTCCAGATTGTCTTTGCAAGAAATTGTCGTTTTTTCTAAATATGAACTGTGTTGATGCGTGTAGGTGAGATCGACCTCGAGATGCTCTCCGAACTCCGTCTGAAGTACCCGGAAGTGACGGTGGACAACGAGGTGGTGGAGCCCAGCGGAACTCAGCTTCAGAAGTACAAGGGTACCATCTTTATGTGTACTGTATCTGTACACACATGCTCCCAAAACTTCTCTGAACACCAAAGAAAGGACATGCTTCATCTTTATTACATTTTTTTTACTTTATTTTTCAGGGCAGAGAATTTCATTTAAATCCAGCCTTGGCTTTCAAGCTCATACATTTTAATTTGTGATACAGTTATTTATGTATTACCGTTGGAGCAGTGTCCTTTAACCACCAGTACAAGCGTTCCAAAGTATTCAAAACAAAATCTGAATCCCCTCAAACTCCATATATAGATAGATATATAGACTTAATCACGTTGCACACGAAAATACAGTTATTTTTGTCTTTTTTTTTTGTATAGATGAATAATAATTGCTATTTTATGATAGTTAACCAGAACTGTCAAAAATTGTAATTGGCGTGAAAAAAAAAAATCCAGTAAGGTGTGACTGTCGCTGATTAAGTTTAACGCCACGAACCAAGAAATGATCCAAACCTATGAGCAATCGACGGGCTGTAATTTAGACGAGACTGCAGTTCAGTAAACATTGAGTTAATGAGTACGTGCAGGCAGGTTGCGAAGAAACAGGTTCAGCACAGGAATGAGCTCCTGGAATGTTATTAACATTGAATAATTAACACCACGGTTCACCTCATGCCTCCCCTCTCATTATTTCAAAACTGAACTTTGGAAAGCTTGTAAAATGTAAGTTAAAACAATGTAATGCCTGGGCTCATGCAGTGGAAGATTTACATTTCTTTTCAGTTTAATAATATCTGTTGGGACAATTTGTATTAAATGAATCGATTTGATGATTAAATGGTTATAATGAAAGTCTGCAGGTGCCAAAATGGGAAAAAGGCTTTTCAGTATAATAAGTCGATTTGTGATGTGTTATTATGATTTTGATGGGGAAAAGAAGAAATTATCCAGAGTAATATCCATATTAGTTTTAATGAAGAGCATAATAGCAAAGATCTCAGTGTTTAATCAAGCAAACACAGCACAAAACAAATGTGTTTAGTTCATGCACATGCATTTTTTTTAAAACTCTGTTTTGTGCCTCTTGATGCAGCTTTGGTGTCACAGAAACCCGCTTTAGATTACATCAAATTTAGCTGGAACCAGATGACTGCCATTGAGTTTGAGGAGCACTGTAAAGCGAAAAAGACGACCAAGAAGGCTGACTTCATTCACATGATACAGGTTTGTGTTGTCGGCCCACAAACTGTGTTTTTTGACACTTCTAGGTCATATTCGTTTCCAGCTCCACTGCAATTAATCCCATTAGACCATCCGTCTTGCATATCGTTATAATTGGGATGCTCTGTGAATCCAGTCACCGGCTCATTATCTGCTCTGAAATCGACAGATGCTGTACTATGTGAAGGATCCTGGAGCGACCGTGAACTTCTTCAGGAGCCTCCTAGACAAGAATGGAAAGCTTCTCATCATTCTGGTGTCTGGTAAGTGGGTGGAATTTAATCTCAAACTATCAAGACATTTGATCTTTTCCTCCTCTCGGAGTCTCGGGCTTGGTTTTGCGGTACAGAGCCAGTTTGTCACTGCTGATACATCGGGTACGTACGGGGATGGAAACGAGCTGAGGCCTCCTACGACATACATTCATGCTTTACGGCCGAATCTTCACTTCAACTTACAGTGTGTGTACGCTTTTGCCCAACGAACCGCTGGCAAAACACATCTACTCATTAAATCCATCCTCTGCTGCTAACCGTAGTGGTTGAGAGCAAGTGACTAATGCACCAATTGAAAATGAGGTCGTCTAAGTGCATCTCACCCGTGTTTCTGACTCAGAAGCCGCAAATAGGGTTTGTCAGTTGCAATTTTTGTAATTAAAGAGCCACAGACAAAACTTTGTCTCCATTTACCCCCCCCTCGCCCCATACTGCGAATGTTGGTACTGCCAGCCGTAGAAAAAGGCTCAAACCTCATTTCTGTTCATTATAATACTTATGGCTATTAATTCAGCCTGTTCTGACCAGGCGTGCTTTTCAGCTGACACTGCACAGTGTCTAATAAATTGACAAAACATGATAAATGTAGTCCTTCATTCAGGCCCAAACGGCTCAATTGTGTTAAAAGCATCGGGCCAATATCCCTCTCTGCAGAGCAGTGATATGATAATGTCAACCCCTCCAGGAGAGTAACAATGTCCCCTCATTAACCAGACCACAGGGACATTTTCAGCCGTTTTTTTTCACTCTTCTACCGGTTTATCGCATCTTCCATTGCGAGTAGCGTAGCAGGCCGACAACAGCATGTACCTCAACGGCCAGCTTAGTCAGTCCTGTTCTCATCTCATTTCATTGCAGGTGAAAGTGGTTGGGAGAAGCTGTGGCGGACCTACCGGACTCAACTGTGTAACACGGAGATTAGTCAGTGTGTGACCACTGGAGACATCAAAAGCCTCCTGGACGGCCAGCGGGTGAGCTACCGGAGCTACGAGCTGCCGTCCCAAATGGAAATCACAGAGTGTTTCACCGACGGCGACGAGAAGGGAGAGCTTCTGCTCGACTTCCTCACCGAGGTGCTGGACTTCAGCAAGACGGCGTCGCCGGAACTGAAAGCCGGTGTTTTAGAGTTACTCCGACACCCAGACTGTAGCGTGGAGTCCAACGGGAAAGTTATCTTTAACAACAACCTTGGAGTGATAGTCATTGATCAGCTTACTTGAGGAAATAAGCGGTTCCGTTAGTCAATGTCGAAGTTGACCTACTAGTTTTGAGGGGGATTGTTTCACATTGCACAGCATACAATTACAGTTGTACAGTGTATAATTACCGTACGTAAGGAACGACTTGTTAGCCTCTGGTCCACCTCATGATTTCATCCGTTTTTGTGCAAAAAATTAAATTTGATTGATGGTGATTTTTCTTAAACACACTTTGTTTAAGCGTCATGAGCCAGAAAATGGGAGGTACCGAGTTTTAATCAGCTTCTGTCGATCAGCCCCGTATTCCATCATGACAGCATTTTAATGGGTTACAGATGGTATACTGAGCTACCAGCCCTATCACACCATTGCTCCCACTGGGTCATATTAGTATGGAAGTATGAAGATAAATGCAAAATGTAACGCTTATATTGAGCTGTTGATAGTTTGATAAAATGGACCCTCCTGTTGGATTCAGAGTCTTTGCCTTTGGATGTTATGCATTAGAACTGTTGTAGATTAGATCTTCATAAATGAGAGGAAAATTATTCAATTTAGTGTAATTTGCATATTTGTCGTTTTTAAACATGTTAATATTTATACCCACAAATAAAATAGACAGAAATTTCTGTTGTACAAAAGCATTTTTTCCAGTCACGTGTCGGAAGGATCTCAACCAAGAAGGCATAAAAAAAAAGGTATGGTGGAACCATGTACTGGACAAATAGACTGGGAGATAAAGTAGATTCACCAACCACACCGAATTCCACTCTGCCTCAAAACAATGTTCAGCTCATTGATATGCTTCATTATTTATGTCCATGTCCTTTGTGGTCTCTGGAGTGGCCTATAGATGCAATATTAAGCATTTCAGCCAACCAGACAAGTTCCTTATATGAGCTGTGATCATTCCACACAACTTGATGCGATTACACCCAGAGGAACCGTGTGTCTCTTCAGCCTTATATATTGACACATGCTTTATGAGATAGGCTAAACATAAGGCACAATGACAGTCGCTGCTCTCCCTTTCTTTCTTCAGGCATATCAGTAATGCATGAAGTCTTGGCACCATCTTGAGGGCAGCATCAGTAACTGTTAAATGCAAGGATGGGCACTTCAAAGACAAATCAAATTTATAAACAGATCCCCAGAATCCCTGAAAATGACATGCAAGGCTCCATTCCAAAGTATACAACAGAACTGAACATGAAAAAAATGGGAATTTTTAACTGAAATATGTGTAAGTATGAAGCTAGCGGTCATACGCTCCAGGGGCTCCGCTACTGTATATGTATATATGCGTGTGTAAATGTATATGTGTGTGTGTGTGTGTGCGTATCAGCTGGCAGCTAACTAGCTGACACCATGGCACAGAGGCGTTTTTCTTTCCCATCCGCCACCATTCAGCAACTCAAACATGAACTAAGAACCCTTTAATATCCCAAAGAACCATATGAAAAACATGTAGACACAATTGTGTCACGGTGTGGTTTATTTCCTGTCTTATTTTGTAGTTTCTGCTTCTTGTCTCCCTAGATAACTTCACTTCCTGCCTTGCCCTGTCATCCCCTGTGATTGTCGGATTGTTTCCACCTGTGTCCAATCACCTGCACCTCCTTAGTGTATTTAAGCTGTGTGTGTCTCTTGTCACTTGTTGCGTCATTGTCGAATGTCCTGGATGCCTCTAGTTCATGACTTGATGATTATTAAAGTCTTTTTGTTTTGGAAGTCTGCGTTTGAGTCCTGCCCTCCACGCCCAACCCTGACACAATTGAAGGTGATGGTTCTTTGTAGAACCACACTGCCTTCTAAAGAACCATTTAAGAACCCATTTTTTCTGTATGCAGAGAAAGTCAAACTGGCAGGAGACCCATGCCAAGACCCGCAACAATTTGGAGAGATTATACAGCTCACCCAGCCTGGGAACCTCTCCAACAGACTAGTCTTTCACTCCAAGACATGTAGCACCCGCACACACCAGCACTGACAAAAGTGCAACAGTACGTTTTGTCAGAATTTGCAATGCATTGATTAGAAATGTGTCTTCATGAGACGAAGATTAATGCAAAGGGGAAAATGAATGCTGTGGTCTGCACACAACGAGGGTATCGAAAGTGATGAATCTGTACAGTGTTCTGTACAGATCTGGTTGTCTGAAACGCATGTGTTCACCGGCTGGAGTTAATTCATATGCTGACCACCGCAGCCGGCAGACGTGCAGAGGCTTCGAGGAACCTATTTGCATCAAACAGATTGCCAAAAGAGTTAGTGACACACACTGGACCTCAATTTGCTTCAGGTGAATTTGAGTCATTCATTGATTTGATTGCAGTTAAACACATTTCCCTTCCGGCTTATCATCCGGCCTCAAAGGGAGTAGCTGGAAGTCCTTCTGGCAGTTGTTGTGGAAAAATCCGGAGGGGGGGCGGTGGTTACTAATGTTCTGGGTGCTGTAATGTACTGAGTGAACAAAATAATAATAAATATTCAGGCAATAAACTAAATCATCTGCAGCTATGGGAATACAGGGGAGAGCAAATCCACGGAAACATCTCTGCCAAACGAGAGAGGGCGTGGCAATGAGTGCTATGAATTAGATTTTTGGATATTCAATTTGAAAATACACACAGTAGAGATTGTCATGTGACTGCAACGACTGCTGGTGTGGTATTTTGACTAAATATATACAAACCACAACATATTTCCATGCGCAGCATCTGTGATTTGCATGTTCTCATCATGTCGCCCCGGGTTACCGCCTTAAAGTGGGCCAGACTGGTTGTTGCTATGAACCGCTTCAACACTATTTGAATCACAAAACAAAGGTTCCACACAACTCTCTCCTTGCAGATGATCCATGTGGATAGCTTTGCAGACACCATAAAATAAAGTTTATATTGGCATGATATTTATGGCCTGCAAGTCATTAAACACTGTTTCATTGTGTTTTCTCAGAGAACATTTTCTACGCTTGGTTGAGCTGAAAGTTGTGTTTGAGGTGACACGCTGTCATTTGTCAAAGTCACTGAGGCAACAAGCGTAGAGATTTAGGAACTGGGAGATATTGGACAACATAAGTATGTTGACTTTCGTAAAAATATGTTACGCATTGAAATGATGCAGGTACACATTTCCTCATTCAAGTCAATGAGAAAGTGTGTCCAAACCTTTGACGGTTACTATAGTTAGAAGGATTAGTGCAATTTTGCATTTTTTGAACAGTCTGAAATTGCTTTGCTGCATGTAGTAATGATGAAAAGCTCAAGACAGTTGAAGCCCAAAGGCAATAAGACATGCGCTCAATTAGGTCATTTCTCAGACACAAAGTGGGAAAATGTGGGGAAATCAATAATTCTTTATTGTCTTTCTTTCGGGAAAATAATGTCTAATTCATTGCAGGAATTAGTCATTGCAGCAGAAACAACGAACACTTGCAATGAGCTCAGTATTGTCCTGAAGGTTTAGGTCTTCCTCAAACTGTCTAAAAAAGAGACATTTTCTGCCGTTATCCTGAAAGGTGGGAGTTATGTATCTTTACTTTTTGTCGAAACCCAGCTGAGATTGTTGTTTTATCGTTTCAACTTTTCATTTGTTTATAACTTCTATTTGTGCGTTCCGGGAGTGATGAGAAGTCAACATTGATCTATTTGTCTCAAGTTTAAATAGAAGACATGAATACAGATCATGATAAAGCAGGGATGCAGTTCATTATACAATCAAAACTTAAATCCAACCCAAATATATAGACAAATAATGAATAAACCAGCACCACACTCAAATGTACCTATTCACAGCACACTGAGGGGTCTCCAACCACAGAAAAGACCAAGACAAAGCATCTAAGATGGCTACTCAACTCATCAACCGTCCAGCACAGCACAAAGCCCCACAGGAAATTATGAAATTCATTCAGTTTATTTGCTAAAAAGAACAATATGATTAAATACGTCCGGGATGTAATAAGGGATTGGCTCCTCTCATGTCTTTGTCTAATGGAAGATGCAGGTGACTAAAACTGGTTTGTCGGCTGATTTGCAAAAGCATTCAGTCTGGGTTTTAGTCAGCAAACAAAGGCTGGGTTCCGCTGCTCCCTCGGGTGTGTCTAAGGTCAGGAAGAAAGGCTGGAGTGAGCTTCCCAGTGCTCGACTCTCTGTTACCTGCCTTAACAAATACAAAATGAATGATGAATCATGGAGAAATTAGAATTCAAAACAAGCATTAAGTAAATAGAAGGAAACCGTTTAACAAGACTATTTTGCAAGAGGAAAATGTGTGCAAGTTATGATTTTTTTAAAGTCTTTTCCTGACGTTAACCAATTACCGTACCTGCTATAGTAACATCATGCATTGCATAAGTTACTCATACAGTGAAGCAACCATGTAAATGTTGCGGAACCCAATTATTTGAGCAGACACCCCGGACTATGCTGACCCAAGGAGCTTTTTAATATATATATATTTTTTTTTCTTTGCACAAATTATTATCTTAAATTTCTAACATTTATTTATTTGGCGATTCAACAGTAATAGTGCACATGAATCATCATTTCAGAAAACAAAAAAATCAGTTTATAATGTTCACCCTAAACATTATAAACTATTTGTTTGGCATTTCTAAGACTCTGCATGCATGTTTAAAGCCACTACACCAGTAGCCCGAGGACAGGAACAGACTGACCTCTGAAAACAACCCTCATGCCTTATTAATTCTTTATTGTATTATTCAATGCACTCAAATGATGTGCTGTTTTGGTGCTTGATGCAGTGAACTGACACACACACACACACTATGTTTTGAATTTACTGTAAAGTGAACTCAGTGGACAGTCAGTTGGTGGACTCTGCACACAGAGTGTGACTGAGCACAGCTGCTGTTATTCTTGATGCGCAAATACTTTTCAAGGGTTACGTAACAAGCGGTCACGTGGGTTTATGTCAACCAGCCTGTCGGGTGGGAGGGACCCGCTCTTCACCTCGGCATTAAAATCGGGACACAATCTCCCGTCTGTCCCCCACTCTCCTCAGATTGAGGGTAATCGGTGAATACCGACACGAATACTTCCAACCATAGAGATGCATTTTCTCTGCATGCATAGATTGCTCTGTTTATGCGTTGCAGGACTCAGTCATGGCTGCGGATGCAAAGTCGACTTGTTATGATGGAAGTTGTTCCCAAAGCTTTCAGTTCTACTTACGGCACTCTGGGGAACACGAGGCCATTTTCCAATGTCTCCGCAAGATCCTGCCGGGAGAATTCAAAAGGTAAAGTCGGGCTGTGATTGCTGAACTAATTGTTTCCTTCAGCACTCTCTTGTCTGTCCATTTCCAACCTGCAAGAGCTCATGTTCACGGCATTGCTCACTGTTGTCATGCACGTATGAACCTGGAAGTAAAGCCATGATATCAGAAAGGAAATATGTATATATACTGTAGTTTTTAAGTTATTTGAGCAGTTAGGTAATATATCTTTACCAATTCAAGTTTTCCTTTTCCACATGCCATGCTTTGCCTTCTCCATCTATGTGTTACAGAATCGGATTAGACAAAAGCAGCCTAGATGTTCTCGGTGTTGGAAGTGGTGGAGGTATGTGATGATTGAATGCACGAACACATGTTGTGGTTTGTTAAAGACATTCGGACTCGTTACAAATTTGGCAAAGATTCACAAGTGCAGAAGATGCAATATTGTAACCCATGATTTGTATAATAACCCATTGAGGGTTTTCATGTTCCCACAGAGTTGAGTAATAAAAAAAAAACATGAAAGCATTAAATCTCACAGCTTTATTCAATAAACATTACTTGTTGTTGAGAAAAACAAGTAAATAGATTATTTCACAATTACCTTTTTAACTAAATATCAATCAAAAACTTATTTTCTTATACATTTATAAAATATTTTGAGAAACAAGACTGTCAAATGCTCGCTGGTCCTGCTATTCATTTCAGGGTGACAGATAGGAGAAATTGCCAAAACTGTCACTCGCTCTTTTAATCATTTGTTAGCAACAAGGAGACGGGACGGATCGATGGGAGGACACATGGTCAAAGCTCAACGCTGAAGGTCAAACCAGATCACTGATTACACGGATGTTATCCCAGCAGCAACATCTAAGTCATTGTTCTTATCCAAAATGATAAGACTGCGGAGCAAACAGCGTCTTCCTTTTCTCTCTCTCACTCACACACTTAGCTGTATATTGGACCGGTGCACCTGGAATTACTTTACAAAGGTCTAAGAATACAAATAACATTTCCACTGATCTTGACAAAACTAGAAAATGAGTTTATAGTTTCAATAGATATTTGCAATATTCCAAATGAATTCGGGAGGTTTTCACACTAAAGCAGCATTACACGAAAGTCCTGCTCTCTTCCAGGTGAGGTGGATGCTCACATACTCACTCTGCTGCAGTCTACATGCCCTTCTGTCCCCATCACTGCTGACATAGTGGAGGGGAGCGCCGACCTCACGGACAGCTTCAAAGGTATTGAAAATGAACCATGTCGCAGAGGAGTTCCCGTTTTGTAATTTCTATATTGGAATTTGTGCCTCGTGTGTCCTTGTAGTTTTCATCTGATCAATCTGTGTCTCGGTTGTAGGTATTTCCATCTACTATATCCCACGTTCTCTTACACTGTACATACTGAGTTTCCTAATGTTACTGTCTGCATCGTTTGCTATTTTTATTTACTACAAATAGCTTTGGTAGCAAAGACCCCGAACCTCCAGAAGATCCCATTCGCTTGGCATCTGATGACCAGTGAGAACTATGAGAAACAAGTCAAAGCTAAAGGAGACATCAAGAAGTTTGACTTCATACAGATGGTTCAGGTATTATGACTTCTTATTTTTTCCCTTTTTTATTTTAAGAATAATGTAATGAGGAATGTGTCTCACTTTTTTTTTATAGTCAATAAGATATATTTAGCTCCCCTTAAATCCGTTCATAGTCAAATAATGCCAGAATCATCCAAAACATAAAATCAACTCTCTCCTTAACAGATGATCTACTACGTGGATAATCTCGCCGGAACCATCGCGTTCCACCGCAGCCTCCTGAAGAGCAACGGCAGGCTGATGATCATCGTTGAAGCAGGTGAGTCGAACCACGTTACCCATAATGCATCCTGCCCTTCTTCATCCCAGCCCGTTTCTCCTAATCTTTACTTAAGAGCACAAAATGTCTAGAGCTTCGAGGTCACCGGCCCTCTTCGCTGCTAAACAAGATCCTCCGATGGCCGATCGTCTCCCATGACTGGGTTTTTGTTGTAATTTGTCAACATATTTCTCGTCTCATAACATCCAGCCAACTCTGGCTGGGACATCCTGTGGAAGACTTACAAGAAGGTGCTCGCCGTCGACGTCATCACGGAGTACCGCTCGTCGGGAGAGGTCATCGACTGCCTGAAGAGCCAGGGTCTGAGATACGAGGAGCACGCCGTTCCCAACGCCTTCGACATCACCGAGTGCTTCGATCCCAGCAGCGAGACGGGAAAGCGTCTCCTGAATTTCATGACGGCGAAAGGCAGTTTCTACGAGTCCTTCACCCCGGAGATCAGAGCGGGGATTCTAGACCTTCTCAGAAACAAGTGCAGCACTGAGAAAGATGGCAGGGTGCTATTCAACAGTGATTTGAGCTGCATACTTGTTCATGCTTGAGTGGTCCTCTGGAAATGAGTGCATATATTTGCCTTAACTGTACGTAAAGCAACATTTTCAATAAACATGATCTCTCATGGTCAAAGACAATTGCTGAAATTGTATTCTCCTCTCTCATTACATATATTCAGCACATTTTTTTATTGTGAACAATATCGGTATTTTTCCAGCCGAGCAATGAAGAGGAGCTTTGAATAACCTTTGGATGAATACATGTAAGACAGAATACCTCCATTGACGCATTGTTCATATAGATGGATTCAAAAATGTTTATGTTAAGCATGGAAATTGTGAAGAAAAGGTGATCCAAAGGTTGTTGTTTTTTTATTTAAGATTTTTGCCATTATTTTAAGTGTGAAATAGTGTCTTTCTTTTAAGGTTGAGGCATACTGTATAGCTATAACGATGGAAACACCCTCGTTAGAATCTGAAACTGAGGCCAACAGAGTGAATATGACGGCGCCAAGGAAACGGCCTTTGTCAGGTCTAATTCGTCACGTTGGACACATATTTTAATTTTAATTTGACTTGACACCAAATTTACAACCAGTGGCCAGCCCTGCTCTTTTATGATGCATACTTGTAGATTTGTAGATCTTTGTAGACCAATGTCTTCTCAGAGTGATGCAAATCATGTCACGCAAATAACTTTTTCTTTCAAATATCAGCTTCCACATGATGCTGTTCACCTTGACGCCAGCAGATGGCAGCACACGGCCGAGATTACGCCTCCTTCTGAACTGTGCTCCACTGCAGGAGCTCCAGTAGATGGCGCGCCCTTTACATTTATGCCATTACATTAAAGAAGAGTGAGAAAACGAACTTTTATTCCAAAAGGAACAAAAACAGCACGCATAATGCCTGGGAAGTAAAACCATCCATCGCCACGCGTTGTTCGAGTCTCTCACTTTCGGTTTCCTGTTCAGCTCCACTGCGGCTGGAAATCACGTCGAGCCGCCGAGGCCTTGTCTCAAGCTTTCTTGCAAATGCATTCTGGCTGCTCATTTACCTCATTAGCCTTAATAGATCAGTAATTGAAATTCATCAGAAACTCTTGTCAGAGCGCCCCCCCCCTGTTGTCTGTGGGCTTTCAGCACCTGCTCCGGCTCCATTACTGGGGGTCCTCGCTGGGCCCTCTCATGCCACGGAGTGACAGAGCATTAGTCACTCTGATAATCAACCTCGAGACACAGTTTGCCGCTAATGCTCCTCGAGAACTATTTACTTCACTTGCCTGTTGGTGTCTAATCATGGAAGAAGTTTTTTCCGCTGGATAAATGTAATGAAAACGTTTACAGGACACCTTGTTTTGGAGGTGATGGATTAAAACTAAATGATATTTTGTTATTATTATGTTTTTAGCTCCATCTTGTTTTCCTGTACCGCCGCCTGTCTTCAAGCCGATGGCGTAATAACATGCACCGCTCCCCACTACATTTTGGCTTCCCCCCACGGACCTCATCCACTTTGCATCGTGCAAAGCTTGAAACAAAGGATCCATCATTTAAGATCAATTTAGAGAAACGCTTCTCTGCCGCTGCCAGACGTTGCCGTTGTGCTTAAACGTTGGAGTGCTTGTGAGAAGCATTCAGGTCCATCTGGCCAACTATCCGGGCTGAAGCTCCCGCCTGTGGCTCTATCGGCACGCGTCAGTGTTCCTTCACACCACGTGGAATAAGGGACAACAGGCCATGTGTTCAAAGTACTATACTTACTATAATTTCTCTTACTATTATTTATCTTTATCAGCAACCTCTATCATTTACACGATTGCTTTCTTTTACTCTAAGAAAATCACCACCTGTTATATATACTTGTAAGAATATACAATAATTAAACCGTATCTCGGCTATTTTATGCAGAACAGTGACAACCATCATTCAAAGCCAAATATTCCCTGGTTTGGTAATAATGACTCTTGATAGGTTTTTCCTTGTTCCTCTGGCCCTCCTTCACCCTGAGCCAGTATCAGAGCCAGAGGCGTCTTCTATCGAGCATCACGTCAGCGTGCAGACCTCTTTGAGACGGGAGCGCGACATGCGCTGGCCTTTGAAACGTTGTTCCTGTAAATGGCCGCCCTCTACGGCGTATTTCATTCAGGGGAATTAGTCCTGTCTAGCAGCCGGTGTTATGAAGCAGCCGTCCTCCACCGGCCCCAGTCCGGCAAAATATGGCTATTTGATTCACGATTCCAAGGATTATTTCGTTTTTTAAGTTAGGCGGAATTGCGCAGCACTGACGAAAGGTCAGACATCAAGTCAAACAAAAGGGATTCACCAAACATACGGATGAACGGAATAAATTTACCTTGTTCTGTCTCATTAATCTGGTAATTCAAGGCCTTATAATCTGATTTTCAGACTGGTCCCATTGGTTTAAATTTGGAGAACTACCACAGATTAGCAATGGAACACATTTTTTATTATCTTATATGGATCACATATTTCATTATAGGCATTACATATTAGCGTGAGATAAAGGGTCACTAATTGACCCCCAATGTCGTGACAAATCACAGATAGCAGACAACATTTAGTGAATTCATGAATCATATATTCAAGTTCAGGCCTTTTTTTCGCTGTTCAACTCCTCTTGTTGTGAAAACAAAGTTCATGTGAAAAATAGGCTACTTCAGGATCATTTTCTGCGTGCCTGACAAACAGCGATAACAGTTGTGGGAAACAACTCGATATTGACTCTAAGCTACGCTCCTTTGAGTTCACATTTACTCATTTGAAAAACAGGGACAGTGACTCCAACTGTCACTCGTTTCATTTTCCTGAAGGCGAGAACTTAATTACACTCAGTGACGTTTACCCTCGCTGCGTCCCACTTACACTCACGTGGTGACAGGATTTGGGCTGCGCTTGTCTTTACTGTTGTGCAAAAAAAAAAAAAGAACGCTTGTGAATTTCTTTGCCCAGCTGACTGAGGCCGTGTGGATATATTGACAATCAGCATCGGAGCTGTCCTTTTATCAACCGACTGATCGGATGTGATTGAGCTTCCTCTGTGCTTTATACTACATCTGTATATGTTAGATTTTCTTCTCTCATTGTTTTTCTTTGAGTTAATTGTGTAACAATGGGTTTTGTTAATGAATTCCCCTTTAACGTGCCCAGGAGTTCCTCTCTGCATTTGGTAAAGCGTTGCCATCACTGCTCCAAAGAACGGTTCCCTCTTAAGGAATTTAATTAGCGGAATGAAATTAGGAAATAAAAAAGTTCACGTTAAGAGGTTTTGCTGATGTCGTTGCAGAGGGTAAGCTCGGAAGTGTTCAGTAAACACTATAATCTGGAATGTCCAAATTAAAGTGAGTTTAGCCGCAGGCTATAACTGACTCCAGTGTATCGGCGGAGGTCTTTAAAAGCTCTTTTTGGTTGAAGCCCGCGGACGGTATCTGCAATGTTTTATTACTGTTATTGCTGAAGACGACGTCTGTCTCTCCTGCAGCTCTGCTAGTGAACAGATACCGGACTTAAAAACTGATCATGACAGAGAGCAATCCTCCCAGAAGTTAATACCGGTAGCATGAGTGTTTGTACTTAATCCCTGTCATGAGAAAAAGAAAATAAGGACCTTACATTTCCCTGCAGATCTGCAGCAGCTTTATTGTTCTTCAGTGCATTAATCAGCTGGTTTCTCGTCTTTTGCTTTTATTAAACGCTGTTTCTGGCCCACATTCATTCATTGGATCTTAAATATCCTCCCTCATGGGTGCCAGCCTGATTGTGCATAGGAAATGAATTCGGGAACTTCGGAGCTCTGTGTGCAGCGACCCCTCTGTCTTAATAACTCGCCATCAGGATCCTCAGTGCTTCCATTATATTTTGCCCCCCCCCCCCCCCGTCCCCCCGACTAAACCCATTCTGATGAAATATTTTCCTAAATCTTTCCGTTTTTATTCATATCAAAAAGTGTTTACAGCCCTGGTGGGAACTCACACACAATGACAGTTGTATAACTTAATAATAAATAATTCCTTAATAAATCAGGCTGAAGTCATCTGAACCGAGAGCTGTGACTCACTATTAAGCTACGGCTTGTACTTATAACATATTGGTGCAGAGTAGTTTACCTGCAACACTGACTACGAATGAGAATCAACATGTCACTTATATGTTCTGCAGGTTCACTGTACATTCTTAACCAACATATTCTCCCTGGAATTTTGTTTTTTGGAAATATTTAAAACCACCTGGAGTTTTTACGCAACGATTAAATTGCTGCGAGGGGTTTGCAGCCCATACAAGTAGGTAAACAAGATATGAACATATACGTGTGCATGTGTCTGTTGTTGTTATCCATAATGCAACACATGATGGAAGTTAATGAAAGCCATTTATAAACACGCAGCGTGGCTCACATATTTGTGTGTAGCATCCCCCCCCCCCCCCCCCCCCCCCTTCTCTTAAAAATTCATTGTACCAGCAAATCAATACAGGTATTGATGGGCCTCAGATAAAAACCATTATGGCAACCAGCTCTAAATCTTCAGCTGAATTGATTTCATTTTAAATGATCCATGTACACCCAGTGGAGCACACCAGCGGTGTGAGTGTGTTTTACCTTGAATTCATGCAAGAGAGACGTTATTCATCACAAAGAGAATGTCCCTTCTTCACACCCCAATAAAAAGCAGAGTAATGAAGCCTCTGTGGGTGCTGTCACCCCCAACACTGCTTCATAAAGGATGACACAATTATATTTTACCAGCTCACCAAAAAACGCTGACAAGCTCCGGTTCGATAAAATTCAATCCGTACCGGAGAGAATCATGCTGGGGCCTCGTAGTCGTGGCTCATGAGCCACTGGGTGCCGTTGCCTTGGGATGCTTCCCGCGGAACAGTTTCTTTATCACAATTAAGCCAGAATTAACATTTGTTGATATGATGCATCAGTTTTGTTTTGGAGCGGTTCAGCCTCGTGGTGCTACGGAAGAAGAGCTTCACAGGTTCACAAACAGGCAGGACGTTCGCCTCTGAGCGAACAGACGCTAATGCCGCGTCGCCGCCAATCAGTCAACTCGCTGAATGTTTGTCTAAGTATGACGGACGACGCGTTGACAACATCAAAAGGCGGCCGCTTGCTAAACCTTA